CCCCACAGGGAAACCTGAGCCCAAATTGCTTTGTCATGTGGCAGAGAGCGAGGTTTCCTCTCCACACCCAGTGTCTTTGTGCAGAGCACACAGCTCATCAGAGGAGTCTTTGTGTGCTCGCTGGGCCTTTAGAGAAGAGCTGCTTTTAAAGTGGGCTGCTTTAAATTGAGGACAGTCTTCATAGGCTCATGCAGCTTTGTTCAGTTTGTTTCTCCGTGTGTGATTACATAAGTCTGAACTCTGTGCTGCTTGTGTGAGTGTGGGGCAGTGTGGGAAGAATATCATGATTTCTCCAGTACAGAAAAATGCTATCAAAGAATTTCTATTGATATTTTTTCATACAGCTGTGGCCCTGCTGTTTACTATCTCACTTAGCTTCCTTGTTCTTAACTTTCTTTACCAAGGACACTAATCTACTTTGGTTATGAATTAATTTATAAACAAGGAAACTGGATCAGAATTGACTGGTCACTGTGTATTGTGCTTCTACACCTTCCAAACTGGACTTCAGTGTGATTTTATGATGCATATTTGTTCACTATGTTTTGACATTATTCAGTTAAAGCTAAAATAAACATATCCGCTGTATCAAAACTGGCACTAGAACAATGCAGCCTTACATATCTAGACTATAAAGATTAGACCAATAATAGCATTCTGTTCAAAATTAACTTTTTAAACACGTCCAGAAGATTTGACAAAAAGACTGAAACCTGAACTGACAAACGAATACAAGAATCACATTTCAGAACATGTTTGCACAGAGCTGAACTACAGGCTTAGTCATTTGTACAACGAATAACACTGAATTTGTTCTTGTTTGTGGAAGAAATTATGATACTTAAAAAATTGCAGCGTTTGCAGTTTTGCTAATTGCGTTATTTTGATTGCGATTAATCTTGTAGACCTACAGCGCAACTCACAGTACTTCCTGAAAAAAAAAAAAAAAGGGAGATCATACCATAACTTTTACACATGCTTTTTATATATGATTTTATTGAGCTTAAAGGAGCAGTACGTAACTTTTTGGTGGTCGTTTATTAACAGATCTGACCTGTAACTTGGTCTTGTTTGGTCTCCATGAAGATAGAAAGGAGATAGAAAAGAAATTCCAGACGAAGCAATAACATCTCCACAAAGAAAAGCATTTGACGGACCCTCCACCTGAAAAAGTTACACAATCCTTTAAGTTCATCCCCCGCTTTCGGCTGCTTTGCCTGGCCGTCCTCGTGTTTGTGGAGAATTCGCTCTGATGCTCTTCTCTGTGTCTCAGGTTGGGTTTGGCCCAAAAGCTAACAGCACCCCACGGATGGAAAAACAAAAAAGACAAGAATACACCATTGTTTAACAGGTCAAAGTCTGTGCTAAGCTCTGCTCTGCATTCCTCTCACACGATTGGTGCTTCCTCGTCGCTCTGATCTCACGACTGGATGTTTGTCCACTCTGGCTTGTTGATAATTTCTAAAATAATCCACATATTTGTAGTGTTTTAGTGCTTTTTTGTCAAATACAATTAATAAATAGATTTATACAGACATTCTACATTTTGTGAACATGGAAAAAGTCTTGATCATTGAAGATTTTCAAGAAAATGTGGGTTCCATTTTTTCAGTTTGTGTGTGTGTTAATTTTCCCTCTGTTCCAGACTGATGTTTTTCACTCTTGTCTTTGACTGATTACTATCTCATTCTCTCTTTTTTTTCAGTGTGGTACATGTTTATTGTGAGTAGGTGACTTGGTAGTTTTTTTTGTATTTTTGATTGTTGATTTTTTGTTTGTGTGTTTTACTCAGCTTCCTATCTTTATTTAAATATTTTATCCTGACAGTACTGATATTTGGAAATTGTTATTAAATAAAGTTTGGGGGGAAAAAAAAAAAAGATTTATAATTTAGACAGAATTTAGACAGATTTTGTTGGGTTTCTAATGATATCAGTATTTTTATAGGCTAATAACTGCGGTAACACCATACTGGGGGTGACATGGTGACAATGCACAGTTAGAAAACACTGCCAAAAATGTTTTTTTTTAGACCATCTGAAAACTCAAGAAAAAAAACATAAAATGAGTTTAAACAACACATGAAACTGACTAAATGAAAAACAGTCATCATTCACCACATAGGGTATCGTTAAGAAGTTGCTGATACGATACATACCTTGATACATAGGCCACGATATGATACATATCTCAATACAGTGCACTTTTGATTCAATTATATATTTCATATCAATTCGATATGGTTCAATAAAAATTAAACCACTTCTTGTGCAAAGTTCATATGAAACACAAACGTTTTGATCATCAAAACACTGAAAATGTCAAATGTGTTGCATAAATGCGTTTCCAAAAATCCTCTGAACAAACAATGAAACTGTAGCGCTGTAACTATATAATTTAGTAAAATATACCAAAAAATACTCTTGGCGATATATCGATCTGCTTCATTCAGTCAGGTTGTGTCCAGTTAAACACCTGTCGCTGTACGCCGCTGTTTTCCCGACTCTCGCAATGCATTTTGGTGTATGTGGCCCGCTCTAGTGACCACTGATGCCCACAACTTCTCAAGGTACATTGTGGGATTTTGAGTGCACTACCTTTTCCATGAACTTCTCATTTGGACACCCTAAAAAAATGGCACGATGTGAAGTTATTTCAGTGGGACTTGTTGAACAGCAAAGTCGATTGTTTCCGGTCAGATTGTGTTAAAATAAAGCTCAGATTAAACCCAAACTTGCCTAATAGAACTTGAGACAGAGCAGTGCTTCCAGTTGGCATCATTCGTTTTCTCGTCAGTAACTTAATAAACTTGTATCTGTCGCATTTTGTACTCCTGAGCGCATTTCGTATCAGCCGTGTAACTGTCGCACCGCTTTTACCGACCTTGATAGTGGAGGACAGGTTCACTCTGTTCTAGTTAAAAATAAAGCGGTTTATAAAAGAAGACGATGAGAGTGAAAGCCATTAATCTCAGTTTGTATGTTGCAGAAGCTGTATATTCCTTTCTCCTTTGTGTCTCCTATTCTCTTGTGAGCGCAGACAACAGAGTGTGTCTCAAAGGCTTAATTGCATGTTTCCCTTTTTGCATTTCATTGAGTGTGCCAGTCCAGACGATGTGGCTTTTGTTGCGTTAACCCAGACACATATTTTTGGTCACAGGCCTCGTCTTGGCACTTACAGCTCCCACATTACGCAAAATTGACCCTCGTGAACTTTAAGCCATGTCATAATGTTGTTACCTCACCTTCTGTTTCACTCACACGGTTTGAGTAATCCTTTAATTAGTCTGTCTACTTCTCCCAAGCTCAAAATGTTCTGTTCTTCTACTTTGCAATGTGATGTACTGGTAGTTTACAAGTTAACAGCTACCTTTTTCCTTTTAGTTCAGTAGAGATTTGCAATACCAGAGCTGAAATTGTCGTATTACCACGTGACATCACAAGGTGGAACAGAGTGTTTGCAATTTAAGAGAAAACCCAGCCTAAATATACAAGATTTATGTTTTGGACAAGTGTGAATGAAACGAAACACAACTCCAGGTCTGTTTGGGATGAGGAGACAAAATTATAACATAGATTAAAAAAGCAAACGAATCGTAACTGAGTAGAATTGTCAAAAATTGTAGAAGCGCAAAGTAGTGGTCCAAGAAATGACTCAAGTAAGAGTAAAAAAGTATTTCTGTACTACACAAGAGTAATTGTCAGGACCAGGTGATTTAAAATTTTAAAGTTGATGTAATTGGAAGTACAAAACAAAATTATGCACAAAATCTGGTATTTTCAAAGGGCAGACATATAAATGAGACTAAAGGTCTGTTCAGATGCCTGGTCCTAGTCCAGTCCTGGTTTAGTCCTGGTTTAGTACTTGTTTAAATCTGATTTAGTCCTGATTTAGTCCTCATCCAGTCCTCATTTAGTCCTGCTCCAGTCTCGGTTTAGTCTTGGTTTAGTCCTGGTTTAGTTCTGGTTTAGTTCTGGTTTAGTCCTGGTTTAGTCCTGGTCCAGTTCTGGTTTAGACCTGATCCAGTCCTGGTTCAGTCCTGGTTCAGTCCTGGTTCAGTCCTGGTTCAGTCCTGGTTCAGTCCTGGTCCAGTCCTGGTCCAGTCCTGGTTCAGTCCTGGTCCAGTCCTGGTCCAGTCCTGGTCCAGTTCTGGTTCAGTCCTCATCCAGTCCTCGTCTAGCCCTGGTCCAATCCTTGTTTAGTCCTGTTTTAGTCCTGGTTTAGTCCTGGTTTTGTACTGGTTTTGTCCTGATCCAGTCCTGGTTCAGACCTGGTCCAGTCCTGGTCCTGGCCAGTCCTGGTTCAGACCTGGTCCAGTCCTGGTTTAAGCCTTGTCCAGTCCTCGTTTAGTCCTGATCCAATCCTGGTTTAGTCCTAATTTAATCCTAATTTAGTCCTAATTTAGTCCTGGTCCAGTCCTGGTTTAGCCCTGCTTTAATCCTGCTTTAGTCCTGCTTTAGTCCTGGTTTAGTCCTGGTTTAGTCCTGGTTTAGTCCTGGTTTAGTCCTGGTTTAGCCCTGCTTTAGTCCTGCTTTAATACTGCTTTAATACTGCTTTAGTCCTGCTTTAGTCCTGGTTTAGTCCTGGTCTAGTCCTGGTCTAGTCCTGGTTCAGCCCTGGTTCAGTCCTGGTTCAGTCCTTGTTTAGTCCTAATCCAGTCCTGGTTTAATCATGGTTTAGTCCTGGAAAACCCCCCACAAATGTTCAAATTATTTCATATTGTCACATAAAGCTTTAGTCACTTTAAACTCCCTCACAGTGGGGAGAGTAACTACAACTTTTACTCAAGTAAGAATAGTCTCCAGTAGGAGTAAAAGTACACTGCTAGAAAAGTACTCTAAAAAGTAATAAGTAAACGTAACTACTAACAGAGCCTCTAGTTGTTTATAATGTTATGTGTGTTGAAAATCCACATGGGCGCTGTGAAATGACTCAAAGCCTCTGGTCAGGTTCTGGTCTGTTATGAACTCGCGGTGACCTCTGACCTGGTTTCTCCGCAGGCATGGAAGAAGCGGTGGTTTGTTCTTCGAAACGGCCGTCTGACGGGCGACCCAGACGTGTTGGAGTACTACAAGAATGACCATACCAAGAAGCCCATCAGAGTCATAGACCTCAACTTATGTGAGCAGGTACTGAACTTCACACGAATGCAAACGGGATTTCTCAAAGCTGCATTGTGTAACTTTTCTGGTGGAGGATTCGGCGCCTACTTTTCTCCATGAAGATGTTTTTGCTTTGTCTAAAATGTTTCACGGTAAACTTAAGCACGTCGAGTTTTTCTAGGTATTTTTGAGCTATAAAACCACCCGTAATTGAATAAGTGTAAGGCAGAGCAGCTTAATGTCACACTGTGGAACATTCCAGACAGAGCAATGACATCTCCATAGAAACAAGAAGGTGACGGACCCCTAACTGAAGACTTACACAGTGCACTTTTAAAGCTTTTTGGAGTTTTCTACTATGTCCTAACCTTGTTCCCTTATCAAAAACTTGCCTAAAGAGGATTTATACGTCATCCATTCATGTTTGAGTAATTTAGCGATCTCTCCCAGGCCCTATCAAACCTTCTTTATGTTTAGCTGCACACAAGCCCACGTCACCCATGCTCCCCACGTGACAATTCTCCATAAATACACAAACACACGATACAGAACTGTACAAAGCAACTTGACAAACCTGATGGGATTGTGTTGGTGTAGCGCTCTGAAGGGGGGGTGACTTAACACAGGGAGCAAAAGGAGGGGACACTCAAAGCGGCAAAAACGAAAATTAAATTAAATTAAACATGTTAATACGTTGTTTTTGGCGAATATAGTATCTTCAAAACAGTAAAACGGAACATGGTGACGGAAAAATTTTATGTGTTCGCAGTTAATTCCTCATAGAAATAAATATCCCCTCTTTAAAATACTTAATACTCATTCAATTTGTTTACTACAAGTTATGCAGCCACTGAAAATAAAGTCTACAGATGCACTGATACTAGTATTGAATATCGAAATTGCGGGTATTGGTTCAGCCGATATCTTCATCAGGACTTTAATTTGATGTAATAACACTATTTACAAGTTGATTTTGGACTAGGACGTCTCCATAATGTTTAAACTTTTATTCATACAAGGTTTAGTTGTGATTTGAAGGATAAATAACAGCCTCATAACATAATTGGTGCTGTTTTGTAATAAAATCTGAACTGAAAAATCTCCAATCAATACTAATTTATACGTAAAAGGTAACATAAAATACAACTAAATAGCGTTAAAAGGTGGAACTGAGCATTTTGAAGTTTGAAGATGTAAACAGACTAATCATAAAGCATTACTCAAACATGTGTGAATTGATTGATTTGTTTTTATTTTGAGTTTGTGCCAAGAGAGAAACAATAATCATACACATTCTACACATACTCTGTAAACAATTGAAAAGCACATTTCTCGAAAAGGAGTGGGGAGAAGAAAAACTTATATTAACTAGGGCTGGGTATCATTAAGAAGTTGCCGATACGATACATATCTCGATACAGTGCACTTTCGATTCGATATGATATATTTCAAATAGATTCGATACGGTTCAATAAAAAATACTGGCTAAATCGTGGCTGTGATACTAAAAGTCTTTGTTAAACCATTTCTTGTGCAAAGTTCATATGAAACACAAACATTTTGGAAGATTATCCAAACAGTAAAAATGTCAAATGTGTCGCATAAATGAGTTTCCTTTCACTCCATAAGCAACAAAACTGTAGCACTGTAACAAAATAATTTAGTAAAACACACCTGAAAATACTCTTGGTGATATATCGATAAAGCAGCCCACGATATCGATACTGTATCATCACATTAAACGATACGATATATTGATATTCCGATATTTTTGCACACCCCTAATATTAACCCACCTCTGTTCATGACATAGTTTAAAAAATGATGTGGTTACTTCTGTACATTGATCACAGAACTTTACAAATATATACATAGAGCAAAATAAATTACATACCATGCATACATCATTTAATTTTAACCCAAAACCTTTTCTTTTTTTTGTATTGTACTGCACACGCACACACACACACACACACACACTTTTCCTGGTGGTTTTCATTGTCTTTGTTTTAAATTTACCCCTTCCCCTTAATTCATTGTGTACTTTTTGAGTACTGAACAGTTTTTGGATATTTTATGGCAGTATATTTTTTGCTGTATACAAAAGCAAAGCAGTGTATAATTTCACTAAATCAAAACATTTGATCATTTTGATTTATTAGGACAAACCGGTTTGTCGTAATAAATCTCACATTTTGCAAGAAAGACGGTGCGTGGGATTTTTCTCTATGTTCTTGGGCTGCTCCCTCTTCTCCAACGCACTCGTCTCAAGTAACTGATGTGCGAAGTTCTCATTCTTCATTTGAAAAATAAGTAATTTTGCGTCATTCTCACGGCACGTTTTTGCAATTTGAAAAGGGGAAGAAGTAAAGTTTCGCCATTGTTGCACCAAATTTCAATACAGTACAATAAAATGAATGAAACAAAACACAATTCTGAGTATGTTTTGGTGAGGTAATAACATGAAAACTTGGATCTGTGCGTCTCTTCTGACCTCACTCACTGTTGTCCAGGTGGATGCTGGCCTGACGTTTAACAAGAAGGACCTGGAGCACAGCTTCATCTTCGACATAAAGACCATTGACCGCGTGTTCTACCTGGTGGCCGACACTGAGGAGGAAATGAACAAGTGGGTCCACTCCATCTGCGAAATCTGTGGCTTCAACCCCACTGACGACGGTGAGACAGAGACACACACACTTCTCAGCACAAAGGAGACATGTTTATCAGAAGATTTTAGTTTTTTTTTAGGTTTTTGGGTCTACTTGTATGTCATATTGATACGTTGCAACTGATGCCATCAATATTCTTTGTAGGCTCTGCTCAGTCTGAGGCTTTATTAGACTTTAATCTGAGCTTTATTTTAGTAAACTCTGACTGTAAAGAACTGACTTATTTAGAACTACAACAGGAAGCGGAATACACTAGACCACATGTGTCAAACATAAGGCCCAGGGGCCAGATCCGGCCCTCCAAGACCTTTAATCTGGCCCTTGGGTGATTTTCTACTAAAATATTTTAATTATATTTTCTATTAAAATATTGGTAATTTTCTGTGGTGTTTATCACAGCAGCGTCTCCAGCGTCTCTGTACGTGGCCCCTCCCACCAGAGCAGCACAAATGAAGACTTGTCTCTTTCCAAACGCTCTTAAAGGACGATCGTTTTGACTGTTGACTGTGACACCCTCATCAGAAAAATGTCCAACATGAGAAAAGTAGATGCTGAGTGCAGGATTTTCCAAGAAAAATTGACTTATTCCTGTTTACATACAAGTTATTGTTAAAACATTGTGTTGAAATTGAATTTTTCTTCAAGTTTCAGGTTGTTCATGATATTATAATATTATAATAAGAAAAAGTTCATCAATTAAAAAAGATGTCTGTAATAGATTTGCGTTTCTCTGCACAAATATTTGAACTTATTGTTATTTTTGGAGTATATATATGCCATGAGTTTTCTGATCCGGCCCCTTTGGGATCAATGTAGGTTGGATACGGCCCCCGGACCAAAATGAGTTTGACACCCCTGCACTAGACCGTTTGCAAGAAAGTTGTAGACCACGCACTGGCCAATCAGAGAAGAGCTGTGAAGCCATGACGTCAAACTCAAGTGTCTGTCTGGGTCCCTTTTGTGTAACAGCACAACAGTTAAAAAAAGCGGTCGAGATTTCTACTTTATTGAAACTGCCTGACCTCGCAGCTTTAGGATTAGTTCGCTCGATGGTAGGCACATACTTTTTTTCGTTTAACCAATCGCTGCTATTTGGTCATGATGCATGTAATGTGCCACTAACGGGGGTAACTGGTATATTAAGTTTTTCCCAAATCCCGTAGGAAGAAGGGCAATAACGTCTTTCCTCTTGATGAAATTCACCAAACATTCTCTTTGTTCCGGCTTTAAATCCTCGATCTCGGGAATCGTTTCCAGCACAGAATGTAAGGCTCTTCGGTTGATTGGCTGGTGCCCGAACTTGCACTTCCGGGGTTTTTGCGAACCTTCTAGTGTATTCTTATTCCAGAACGAGTCGCTGGAGAGAAATCAAATAGAGTGGAGGCACTAGGTGGCTCCAGTCTGGCTACAAAACCCCTGCCACGGACACTATCATTGGATATCTCTGGAGCATACTTCTAGCGGCAGGGAAAAAGGCCATTACAAAAAATTATACAAACTGCGCCATCAATCAAAGACTGGTCAGAAATTAGAAATGGAATTTGAAAAATGGAAAACATAACATTTGGATTTAATTTGAAAATGGACCTCTTTAAAAAAAAAATTAAAAGTTACGGCGCATCATTTCCAGCGTATGAGTCCCATTTTAGTCCAAAGTTTGTCAATTTTTTATTTAAATTTTTTATTTATTTATTTTGGTCAAGTAAGATTTACATTATTGTGCAACGGAACATATGACATAAGTAAAATCATAATAGAAATGAAAATAACCACAACAAAAAAAGAAATGATTTTGCCCAAAAAGGAGTGGGAAGAAGAAAACTTATTTAATTCCACCCCCACTCTTCTATTCTAACACAATAAGCTATCTTTTACATTTTTCAGACATTTGAATTAAACTAAAAGTTTAAATTTAAATGTAATCTAGAACATAGGATGCAATTTGTCTTGTTCAATGTTGTGTGTTTTGTGATATCTTTTTTAGAAATGCTGATATATCTAAATTTAAAACTGCAGTGTACCTCAATCGTGATCGACTCGAAATCACGACCTAGGCTCCTAATCAAATATGAGATGAGTAATTTGCCATATTGCCGCCTCCCGTGGCCGACGCAGAGTGAACCATGTGAATGTATCAGAAGGAGATCAGTCCTGAGCCAAAGTCCAACGAAACATGTGGTGGTCCATGTGTGGCGTGGAGGCTCACGTTACCACTGTCCACAGCACTGCACTGCAAAAACTCACATCTAACACATTTGAAGATTTCTTGAGTTAAGAAGAAGACAAGTAAAATGATTTATCAAGACTTTTTTGTAGTTAAATGTTATACTTAAATGTGCTTTGTGTAACTTTTCTGGTGGAGGTTCCTTCAGATGCTTTTCGTCATGGAGATGTTACTGGTTTGTCTAGAATGTTTCACAGTGTGGCATTAAACCTTTCTGTTTGTGTGGAGACCAAACCAGACCACGTTACAGGTCAGATCTGTGGAGAAACAAGCCCACTCACAGTCAGAATGCCTGTTTTTTTGAAGTATTTTTGAGCTATAAAACCAGCTGTAATTGAATAAATGTAAAGCAGAGTTGTTTAATGTCATACTTGCCACGTTTACATGAAAGCTTTAATTCCAAATAAAGATAAAATTTTATTCTGCTATAAAAAGACCATGTCAACACTTAATTCCTAATGATGGAATTAAACTTAATTCCGAAGTAAGTAGGTGGTTTATTCCGATTTTAAAGCTGAATTAACTGATTTGTCGATCATGTAAACATTTATTCTTCTTAAAAATAATCCTGGTCGTTCAGTTCATGCTCGTTGAGTCGCCTTTCTGATGCGATCCAGACGATCCGGCTCAGTTCGGTCCAGTCTTCGCTTTGGACTTTCATCCACGTCTTTTGGATTTGTGAGCGGGATGCGGGAGTGGGCTGAGGTAGAGCAGCCGTTGACTCAGTTTGTCTTCTTCCTCCCTTCTCCGACACTCTTCCCTTCTCCTCCTCAGCCGACAGACGTAAAGCGTGATGAGAGAATTATCCAGCTGCTGCTTCATTATCATCGGAACAAGTGCAAAAAAAAGTTTGGATCATGTTTGTGTCTGTGGCGTAACGACAAACCGAGATGACAAAAAAGCCGGTAGCAGCTGAAGTGTGTGTTTTCTTCCGGTCGACGTAAATATGTTTGTGTCCTTGTCCAATCAGAACCCTTCCCGTCCTCCAAACGTTGAGCGAAATTAAATTAAAGGGCGATTGAACGTGTTTTCCGTGTAAACCTCTTATTATCTCCATGTAAACTTGAAGTAGAATATTTTAATTCTGAACTATTTAATTCAGAACAATTGATTCTGAATTAAAAGGCGTCATGTAAACGTGGCCACAATCTACTAAGTCATTTTAACTTCCCTAGAAATTTGTTTTTGCAGTGCACATAATCAAACCAGTATGTGTCTGTCCCCTGTTATCTGGATCCCCCTCTTTTCCCCTCTCTGCCTTTGTCTCCCTTTGTCTTTGAATTTCATCTTGGACCTACGCCTCTCACGATAAATACTCTATCGACTTCAGTATGAAAGCTGTACAGTACTTTTGGACTCAGTGTTTAGCGTGTGTACATTTTCTTTGCACTATTGGATGATTTTTGGTTCTTTTTTTGGCCGTATGATGAGATTTGAGCAGTAAAAGGTTGAATTTATAACTTCTATGACTCATTACAGATGCAAGCTAAATACTTAAACCTACTGTTGAAGTAAATATAAACAATAAATGATAATATTGAAACACTAACCCAAAAACCCAAGAGCAGATTAAATCACAAAACTATAAAAAATCATGACCTGAAATAAATAAACAGCAGAATTAAAAACCTATACACATGATAAATACACATGTAAAGTAAAGTAAAAAAGAAAAAAGTAAAGTAAAAAATTTAAAGTAAAACAGTAAAGTAAAAACAAGTAAATTAAAAATAAAAACAAGTACAGTTGTAAAAAGTAAAGTAAAAACAAGTACAGCAAAATTGAAAAAGTCAAGTAAAAAAAGTCAACTAAAAATAAAGTAAAATAAAAAAAATAAAGTAAAAACAAGTAAATTAAAAACAAGTAAAATAAAGTAAAGTAAAAAATAAAGTAAAAAGGTAAAGTAAAAACAAGTACAGCAAAATTTAAAAAGTAAAGTAAAAAGGTAAAGTAAACAAGTAAATTAAAAACAAGTAAAGTATAAAAAAGTAAAGTAAAAGTAAAGAGTATTGTAGTTTATTTATATACTGTAGCGGTTTTCACAGACATAGATCACAAAGTACTTCACATACAAAAGATAAAAAACAGCATAAGATACATCCATAATAAATTCAATCATAGCAGCCATAAACCTAAAGAGGGCGGGAATGCGCATTTAAAGAAAAAAGTAGCAAGTATAGAAGTATATAAGTTGATATAGTAATTATTGTGACAGGTATAAGTACTAAAGTGTTTGATTCTACCATTACTGCACTAAATATTTTACATTTTGAATCAGCTCTTGGGTTTTTGTGTCAGTGGTTTAAATATTATCATTTATCTTCTCTCTCTATATATAATACTCATACTTGGGCTGTGTAACTTTCTCTCCCCACACATTTTCAAATCCACGTTGTTTTGATTGAAAATGGCAAATACCTTTTTCATACCTGCCTTTTCATCTGATACACCGTGGCGAGAATCTTTTAAAAGAAGATGATGCTTTTCTTCTATTCAAACAGACTGAGTCATCGACGGTCTCTGTGTGTGAGGCCGACACCTCCAGAGCCTCCGCCTGTTACGTACGTGGCTTTGTGAAGGACCCCTATAGTCTTCTTAAAGCTGCATTGTGTAACTTTCCCGGTGGAGGGTCAGTCCAGCGCTTTTCTTCATGGAGATGTTACTGCTTTGTCTGGAATGTTTCACAGTATGGCATTAAACCTTTCTATCTTCAAGGAGACCAAGCCAGACCAATTTACAGGTCAGATCTGTGGAGAGGCGATCCCGCTCTCAGTCAGAATGCTTGAATGCTTGTTTTTCTTGGTATTTTTGAGCTATAAAACCACCTTGTCTTGTCTCGGTCTTGAAGCGCTTGGACTCGGTCTTGTTTCGGTCTTGAGGTGCTTGGACTCGGTCTTGTCTCGGTCTTGAAAGCGCTTGGACTCGGTCTTGAAAGCGCTTGGACTCGGTCTTGAAGGCGCTTGGACTCGGTCTTGAAGGCGCTTGGACTCGGTCTTGAAGGCGCTTGGACTCGGTCTTGAAGGCGCTTGGACTCGGTCTTGAAGGCGCTTGGACTCGGTCTTGAAGGCACTTGGACTCTGTCTTGTCTCGGTCTTGAAGGCGCTTGGACTCGGTCTCGTCTCAGTCTTGAAGGTGCTTGGATTCGGTTTTGTTTCGGTCTTGAAGGCGTTTGGACTCGGTCTTGAAGGCGTTTGGACTCGGTCTTGTCTCGATCTTGAATGTGCTTGGACTCGGTCTTGTCTCGGTTTTGAAGGCGCTTGGACTTGTCTCGGTCTTGAAGGAGCTTGGACTCGGTCTTGTCTCGATCTTGAACGTGCTTATACTCGGTCTTGTCTCAGTACTGAAGGAGCTTGGACTCGATCGTGTCTCGGTCTTGAAGGAGCTTGGACTCGATCGTGTCTCGGTCTTGAAGGAGCTTGGACTCGGTCTTGTCTTGGTCTTGAAGGCTCTTGGGTTCAATCTTGAAGGCGCTCGGATTCGGTTTTGTCTCGGTCTTGAATGCGCTTGGATTCGGTCTTGTCTCGTTCTTCAAAGCGCTTGGACTCAGTCTTTCTTGGTCTTGAAGGTACTTGGACTCGGTCTTGTCTCAGTCTTGTCTCGGTCTTAAAGGAGCCTGGACTCGGTCTTAAAGGAGCCTGGACTCGGTCTTAAAGGAGCCTGGACTCGGTCTTAAAGGAGCCTGGACTCGGCCTTGTGTTGGACTCGAGGTCTGACACTCGACGGGGGCCTAAACCAACAGTAGAGTGGTGTATTTGGGTTTTGTGCATTTATCTTTTCATTTAAAGTGTTAAAATAAAGCATTATTTTATCTTTAGCCAAAAAAAATTTTAAAAAATCAACCTGCGCTGGAGATTTAAGTCCGTTACTAATTCTCTATAAAAAGCAAATACCAACCAAACGATGTATCAGTCTATCTCTACATTTCAGAACTTCTCTCCCGTCGCCGCTCTCACAGGGTTAAAAGGAAATGCTGTCCTTGGTTCTTGTTTTTGCTCACTTCAATTTCTAAAGATTGTGAGACTCTCCTCCCACCCCGCTCTGGTGTGGGCTGCTGTAGTGCGAGCTTCAAGGCTGGGCAGGTATTCAACGCACAACAAGCACCGAGCCGGGAACAAGAGTGGGAGGATACGAGGGGACGAGCACCGAGGATTCCCCCTTTTACTGCATGAATCAGCACTTAAGGTTGTCACAAACTCACGAAACAAGGACAGAGGAGGGGGCAGGCGAAGCTCGGCGCTAAAGTGATTTTGTATTGAGATGTTAGTTTGCGAACAAGGCCGGCGTTATGGAACTGAGTGGGAGGAAAACTGTGAAAAGGAGAAAAAAAGTGTCAGAAAACATAGATGCATTTTACCCAGCATACGCGGCCGCCATGTTGGCTCTTACTGCAGAACAACAATCAGCTCGAGCAGAAGGAATGAATAGGACTGTTCCATTTTGAAAAGTCTGTGTGAAAAGCAGAGACCTTGAGGAAATGCTGCCTGAGAGAGAGCGAGACTCACAAGACTAACACTGTTCATAGAAAGTGAAGCTTTTATCTTCTCCGTGTGTGTTTCTCACCAGACTGTGTGTAACTGTGTGTAACTGTGACGGGCAGACTAAAGGAGCGCCCCGGATACAACGTCGAAACACCAGCAAAACTCTGAATATGACACTTTTCTCTCATAATCCAAATAATTATGATTTAAAAGTGCTTTATAACAGATATTTCAGCATGTAGATTGGACTGAAACAGAGCAAAGGATCATGGTCTATGTAGTTAATCCGTGTATCATTCGTTCAAACGTTTTTCAAAATAAAACCTTAAATAAGAAAATGAAAAAACAACTATTTTCTTCATTATTTGTCTCCAAACCCAAAATGAAAAAATGGGTAAGGATTTGTTTTTTCAGTTTTCGATTTTGTGTTTGAATGAATAATGGAGAAAACGGATAACGCCCGTTTCCCGTTTCTGTGACTTAAACTGTGAAGCGGGACTTTAGCACTACATACGGACTGAATCAGGACTAAAACGGGACTAAACTGGGACTAAACCGGGACTAAACCAGGCCTAAACCGGGCCTAAACTGTTTTCAATCCTGGTCTGGTCCCGGTCTGGTCCGGTCTGGTCTGGTCTCGGTCTGGTCTCGGTCTCAGTCTCAGTCCTGGTCTGGTCTCAGTATCAGTCCTGGTCTGGTCTCGGTATCAGTCCTGGTCTGGTCTCGGTCTCAGTCCCGGTCTGGTCCCACTCTCAGTCCCGGTCACTGTTGCGGTTTGGTCCTGGTCTGGTCCCAGACTCAGTTCTGGTCTGGTACTGGTTTCAGTCCCAGCCTCAGTCCTGGTCCTGTTCCTGGACTGGTCCCAGACTCAGTTCTGGTTTGGTTCCGGTCTAAGTCCCGGTCTGGTCCTTTTCTCAGTCCCGGTCTCAGTCCCAGTCTCATTCGCGGTTAGGTCCTGGTCTGGTCCCAGCCTCAGTAGTCTCAGTCTGATTCTGGTCTGGTCCCGGACCTGGTTTAGTTCTAGTTCAGTCCATATGCAGCGCAAAAGTCCGGCCTTACAGTTTAAGTCACGGAAACGATAAACGGTCATTATCCTTTTTTTTTTTTTTTTCATTTATTAATTTAAACACAAAATCGAAAACTGAAAAGACAAATCGGTAAAACTGTTGTTTTTTTCATTTTCTTATTTTTGGTTTTATTTTGAAAAACTAATGAACGAATGATACTTAGATTCTGTTCCACCTTGTGATGTCATGTGGTAATACTTCAGTGCGTTTTTAAACTCCACGTACCTTCACTAGAATCATGTGGGTAAGTTCAGCCCTAGAATTGCCAATATTTTCTGAACCCACGGTAAAAGTATAACATCACGAGGTGTAACAGAGCATTTTGGACTTGACAAAACACAACTTTAAGTCCATAACAACATTTTGACATGACTTAAAGCTCAGGCGAGTAAATTCTGTGTAATATAGAACCACTGAAACCTGTTTTTGACACTTTCTCTTTCTCTTGTGTCTCCGCAGAAGCTGCCAAAGCCTCTTCCCATTCGTCCACAGGCCAGGTGGTGGACACGCCCCCACACCCCGCTCACCATGGCCACCTCATGGGCCCGGCCGCGTCTGTGCTGTCGGCTGTCCCTCCTCCATATCAGCCTGTCCACGTCGCTCACCTCGAGTCCCAGTCCAGTTCGGAGGAGCCCACGGAGGACTATCTGTGGTTGGTCAACTGTGAGAGCAAGAAGCCTGAGCCCTACAGGTAAAAACATCTGCGCTCTCTCTTCTCTCTGAGCTTTTTTTCCATTTACTCTCTCCTTTCTTAGGCCTGTCACGATAATTATAAATATTATCTGCTTATTATTCAATTTGTGAAAGATGGGACTATATATTTTTAGGATTAGTAGGAATTTTTTTAACTTTATTGACCCACAAGTGAAATTATTTGGACACACATCACAATATATTTTAATAACAAAGAGTAAAAATATAACTGGTAATAATAAATTCAACATAAGTAGCAAACAGAACAAGAGACAGGTGTAAAATAAGGCATAATTATATAAACATAAATGTACAAGTAAAAGTAAAATATAGAGAACTTCGTGCAAAGTTGAAATAATGATTGACAGGACGTAGGGCGAAATTGATATAGAGTTATTTTCTGGCTATACGATAAGATTTAAGACGTTAAAGGTTGAATTACTCACTTCTATGAGTCATTACGGACGCCGAACTAAGAACTGAAGTGTTATATTCTGCAGTTTATTTACTGCAGCTCATGTTTTTGAAGTGCATATAACAGGTTTTGATGATTTAATTTTAATTTCTACTTAATTTGGTGCTATAATACCTGTAGTTTTATACCAATCATGGAGCAGTTTGCAAAGAAAAGTTGAAAAATATGATGAAAATTACAGGCATTAGAGAATTCTGTTTTAGATAATGATGGTATTACACAAAAGAGAGTTCTATCCAAAATGTAGGCACAATTTATATGTTCAAAACACATTTATCTGATACTATAAACAAGATTTCAACAACATAAAGGTGTTTTCTTATTATTTTTATTTGTTTTGTGTGCATTAGAGGAGTTTTGACTTGCCCTAGATCATGGTTTCTTGGTAATACCGTAAATTCCGGACTATAAGCCGCTACTTTTTTCCTCACACTTTGAACCTTGCGGCGAATAAAACGATGCGGCGAATATATGGACGGATTCTTTGATTGGCACATTGTCCATTCATATATACGGTCTATGGTTTGGAAACGCAGGGGATGTTGTTAGTGCACTCAGTTTATCGCCGTGTGATAAAAATAAAAATAGGTTATGATGCTAAATGAACATTAGTGAGAGGGATAAGTCTTACCCGTGTGCGTAAATGACGAGAAGAAACGTCTCAAACTTAAGTAGTCGGACATCCACTCACACCTGATCGACAGAACTAAACCCGCCTTCGAGAGAAAGTCTGAAGTCTGCTGAAATCCTACAAGACACTGACATGATACAGACAGGACAGAGACTCTTTCTGCAGGAGACATGCACGGGGGTGAGACGGGGGTGATGCGCCGAGGAAGATGCACGTTTGATTGTGTTTTGAACAGTTATTTTGCGCTTCATGCGCAAGAAACGCAGATGATGCAGCTTTTAAGGTCAACTGATGTGGCTGTCGAAGAAGAAAACAGAGCTGCTGTACGTGAGCTCGGCATCAATGAGTCGATGGTGAGATTTTGGTGACGGCAGCATGACGAACTGACTCAACTCAAAAAGACGACAAAACCTTTCAGAGGCGATAAAAGCAGATGTTCTTGAAGACGTGGACACCTGTAGCTTATATTCAGGTGCGGCCCATCTACCGTATTTTCCGGGCTATTAGGCGCACTCTTAAGCCTCTAAACCCATCAAAACACACACGGAGCAGACAGCGACTGCACAACGACAAACACCCACAGACACACTCATCACTCCACGCTGACGAGGAACAGAACGGAGGAACAAACAGAAAAAGCGAGTGCAATGTGCCACTTCTAGACACAACTGAACAACTGAGTCACTGCGAACACGCCGACAATCCGTTGGTCCCAGACAGCACCCTCCCTACACGCCACAACTGAACAAAGCCCAGAGTCACCGTGAACAAACAAACAAACAAAACCACTCACCCATCCAACTGCTGTGTTTCATTTAAAGTCTGGTGTGGTTTATTTGTGAAAAAAGTTAGAAAATAGACCATTTAATGACAGTGCGTTTTATAATCCAGAGCACCAATAACCCGTAAAATACGGTAGGTACAGTATTAAATTTTTTTTTAAATTTTGTTGATGCCGCTTATATTCAGGTGCGGTCAATAGTCTGGAAAATACGGTAGTTATGGAATAAAAAAATAAAGCGTAAAATGTTTTAGTGACATGTGTAGTCCAACCTGACATAAGCACTTTAACAATATTGTACTTTTAGGATAGTTTTGTGGTTTAAATCTGCTCTTGGCTTCTTGTGCTTCAGTTTTATAGATTAGTTTCAGTATTTTCTTTTTATAGTCTATATTTACTTCAGCAAAACATCATACTTGAGAGTGTGTTATGGTGACAGGCCTTTGCTTTCTCCTCTGACTCTCTGGCCCTGCTCAGTCCCAGCTCTGTGCAGCCTGAGTCTCCACTGGAGGGAGACCAGGAGTACTTCCTCCTGGAGGAGTGCGAGACTCTCTGTCCCCAAACCAGTCTGTGAGTCTCCCATCGGCCCGACCTGCGCGTGCTGTGCTGCTTCTGTCTCTCAAAGACTCCAGTTTGCTGTGAATTTGTACAAGTCTCTCTGCATGTGTCTTATTTTTATACTAATATAATAACACAAAGTCAGCAACTTCACTCTTTTTTTAAGTCCAAGGTTTAGATTTTTTTTTTTTAACTTAGACTTAAACTTTATTGATCCACAAGGGAAATTCCTCAGGCACAGTAGCTCTCACATCACAGTATATTACAATAACAAAGAGAAAACAATATAAATGGTAATAATAAACTCAAAATAAGTAGTAAAAAGAGCAAAAGACTGGTGTTAAATAAGGCATAGTTACAGTATATAAATGTAAATGTACAAGTAAGAACATGGCCCGTGGTGTTCTTACCTGACAGTTTCGACTTGAGGCAACGTGATGATTTAAACAGGTTAAAACTTGGTCTTATAAAAAGAATATATAAAAATAAATTATCGGAAGACCAGATTAACATAATTTGACTATATATGGGACAGGATTTAACGTGTAGAACTTTGCAAATGTATATCCATAGTGTCTAAGATTTAAAAAATGAAAAATCACATGTGTTTATTTATTTGATAGGGACAGTGCACATTAATGAACGTCTTTAATAACTGTGTTAATAGATTAGAGCAAAGATCATTTCCATAGTGTCCGTAAACTGGTGACAAAATACAAAACAAAAGAGTAGACCAGATTAAAAGTGTTCACAGAGTTGGTTTTCCTTCATTCACAGTTAAAGGTGCAGCTTGATTGTTTGATAGTTTAGTACAGGGGTGTCAAACTCAAATTCATTGTGGGCCAAAATTAAAAACTGGTGCAAAGTTGTGGGCCAAACTAAATATTTATTGAGAAATTTCAGCATCATCTGCATGTTTTCTCCTCTTTCGAGACATGTAATGTTAAACTTTTTCTCATTAAAATAAATGTTTAACAATAGTTTTGCTTAAACATTGAATCAAGAACAAGCATAATATAAAATAATAACAAAATTTTAAATAAATAATGTCTCTGTAGCCGGCGGTCAGCTCTAATACATATTGGACTCTGGGCCTGAGTCTGACATGTCTGGTTTAGAGTGATGGACTTTCTCTTATTGTCAGTGGAAAAAACTACCGGTATTTATTTATTTGATAGAGACAGTGCATATTAATGAACGTCTGTAATTACTGTGCTAATAGATTAGAGCAAAGATAATTTATTTTGTCTTGTCCATAAACTGGTGACACAGAAAACAAAAATTACAAAACTGTTACAAAAAAACATAACACAGAAGTGCAAACTGCCAAATTAAAAGTGTTCAGAGACTTGGTTACTGTGTTAATACACCAGATTACAGCAAAGAAGCTCATTTTCATCTGTGGTCTGTAGGCAGGTGACACAGCAATTACAAAAAATACAAATCTATTGCACAGAGACATAACACAGAACAATAAAAGTCCAGATTAAAAGTGTTCAGTCTTGGTTTCCTTCATTCACATTTTAAGGTGCAGTTTGAATGTTTGGACTTTCTCTTACTGTCAGTGGCAAAAAATTACTTGCATTTATTTATTTGATAGGGACAGTACATATTAATGACCGTCTGTAATTACTGTGTTAATAGATTAGAGCAAAGAAAATTTGCATATAGTGTCTATAAGCAGGTGACACAGAAAACACTTACAAAAAATACAAAACAGATCAAATTAAAAGTGTTCAGAGACTTTGTTACTGTGTTAATACATCAGATTATATCAAAGATGCTCATTTCCATCTGTTGTCCATAGTCAGGTGACACAGCAAATACAAAAAATACAAATCTGTTGCAAAGAGACATAACTCAGAACAATAAAAGTCCAAATTAAAAGTGTTCACAGTCTTGGTTTTCCTTCATTCAGTTTAAGGTGCAGTTTGATTGTTTACAGTGATGGACTTTCTCTTATTGTCAGTGGAGGACGACATGCATGCAGACAGAGTGTTATAATGCAACCAAATATTCCTGTTTGGGGTCAGATGTTTTGCTTCGTTACTCACCTGTTCATTTTGTGCAAACTGAAAAAGTGCACGTTTGGGATAAGCAAAGTTTTATTGCTTGATTTTATTGCTAAGCTCTTTAAAGGTGTAACTTGTCTGGTGGAGGGTTCGTTACCTGCTGCTTGTCTCCATGAAGATATTACTTTTTTTTGCATTGATTATTCCACAGTATGGAAATAAACTTGGAAATGACAAGTTAATGGTGAGATTTATGGAGAAACAAGCCTGCACATGGTAAGAGCTCATGTTTTAAAGCAGGGACGGCTCTACCCAACAAGCTGCTTAGGGCCCCAACGCCACCAGGGGACCCCTGAAAGTGCATAAAATGTTATTACAAATTATGAAAAATCTTGCATTGCACGTTAGTCTACTGCATTATGTTAAAATTATTCAGAAAAAAAGTCTAGTATTTTTAAAAAAAATGTCCCTTGTCCAAAGTTTTGTGCTGTACTTAAATCACCTTAATATTTTTATTTGATGTTGGTAATTCAATCAATAGTTAAGCCTGAGGGGCACTGAAGGGCCCCCACAGCAAATTTGGCTTAAGGCGCCCTTAAAGATTGGGCCAGCACTGTTTTTAAAGTATTTATTAGCTATAAAACACCTGTAACTGAATAAATGTGTGAAAGTTACAGTCAGAGCTGCTCAATTATGGAAAAAAACATTATCACAATTATTTTGGTCAATATTGAAATGATTATTCACGATTATTCAGTTATTTTTTAGTTACACAGTGCATTTATTCAGCACTTCTCTCTCAAAAAAAATCAAAAAACACTTTACTGATAATTTATGCAAAACTTTCAAATTGAAAATAAATATAGGCTACAAATATGTACCTTCTATTTGCAGTTTTGCGATGTATAAAACATAAAATGAATAAAACATACTTTAATAAGGCATACAAAAACATAAATGTATCCAAAATAAACTAAATATCCAGCTGTTCTACAATCTCTATATTTAAATAATATATTTAAAACATAAAATATATTTAAAACATAAAATATATATACTTATTTATTAGGGGTGTAACAATAACCAAAATATCATGATATCATATCGTCGAAAGTCTCTCAATAATATTGTGGGCTGTCACAAAATATCGATTCACAAATCTCTTTGCTTAAATTCATCGTTATGATGCAGCAATAGCTAAAAAAACTGAGGGAACTACATAGACCATGATCCTTTGCTCTGTTTCGGTGCAAACTACATGAAGAAATAGCAGTTCTAATCACTTTTAAATCTTAGTCTAAAAGGAAAAAGTTGCATATTCACAATTTTGTTAACCTCCATAAAATATCGTAATAAATATCGTACCGTGAGATGTATATCATGAAAATATCGTACTGTGAGATTTGGATATTGTTGCATCCCTGTTATTTATTTAAAACATAGTCCTAAATAAACTTTGTTAAGCTCGTTTCAACTCGAGTTTGGAGATCGTTTGACACACAAATTGAAATTACGATCAGAAATTCTATTTTAAGCACGGCCTGACAGTATAATCAAATGGTAATGACATCAAATTATTATGTCAATTTTTTCTTTTGTATATATAAGGAAACACTGGTAGATTTCCAAAAACCTATTGGTGTAGTCCACCTTTAAGTGACTTTTTTTTTTCTCGCTTTTGTTTTTTTCAGGGCTCACGCAAAGTCTACCTCTTCAGAGACCGACCTGAACGACAACGTCCCCTCCCACCGCACGCCCACCTCCACCACGTCGGCCAAACACACCTCGCACAACGGCTTCTTCGCCCAGCACCACGGCCCCGCCTCCGCCTCCTCCATCTACGACTCCCCTCCTTCGCGGGGCACCTCCTTTTCCACTGACTCTGGCCTCTACCACCTGCCCCGTAGCTACTCCCAAGACACTGTGCTCGCCCCCAGATCCGCGCCCTCCCCGTCCACGCACCCGGACAGCACGGAGCCGCCGAGATTTACACTTTCAACACGCCGACTCGGAAGGCGTCCATGGAGATGCAGATGCGCAACATGTCGATCAGTTACGATTTCCCCACCACCCCCGGTTCGAACTGTACGTACCAAGTGCCCCGTACGATGCCTTCCACGGGGTCGGAGAGCGGCGGGGACGTGGTGCCACCTCCGAGACCTCCCAAACCTTCTCTCACGTCCACGTCGGGACTGCCGCCGCCCCCCGCCGAGCGCTCGCCGACGGACAACTACTGCGTGCCCAGGTCGGCCTCGGAGACGGACGGGAACTACTGCGTGCCCACGGCGGCCGGAAACAAGGCTCTGCGCAGTAACACCATCGGAACTGTGGACTGTTCACGGATACGGAAAGGTTAGACTGAACCGGGCAGTAGGGCTGGGTATCATTAAGAAGTCACCGATACGATACATAGGCCACGATACGATACAGTGAGCTTTCGATTTGATATTTTTCAAATCGATTCTATACTGTTCAATACAAAATAATGGCTAAATCGTGGCTGTGATACTAAAAGTCTTTGTTAAACCACTTTTTGTGCAAAGTTTATATGAAAAAGGCCAATTAAAATCATCAAAACAGTGAAAATATCAAATTTGTCGCATAAACAAGTTTCCTTCCTCTAAACAAACAACAAAACTGTAGCTCTATAACAAAATAATTTCATAAAATATACCAAAAAATACTCTTGGTGATATATCGATACAGCAGCCCACGATACTGATACTGTATTATCACATTAAATGATACGATATATCAGTATTTCAATATTTTTGCAGGTACAGGTACAGAGTGAAATATTATTGACTTAGACTTGGACTTAGACAAACTTTATTGATCCACAAGGGAAATGACTTGGACACAGTAGCTCCCATATCACAATATAATATAATAACAAAGAGTAAAAGGTGTCCAATAAGGTATAAGTATATAAATGTAAACATATAAGTCAAAATAAAATAGAAAAAAAACAGTATTGACTATTGAATACTTTTGAATGAATGCTAACTTGAGTATTATTCATCTTAGAATCTTGGTTTAACATTAGACTGAAGATTCAAAGAGGTAGAGATGGTGACACAACATAAACTTTATTAAAAACTCTAGGACATGTTCTAGATTTTGATAGGTAAGGTTAGAGAATCAGAATCAAAATACACTAGACGGTTCGCAGAAACCCCAGAAGTGCGTGTTCGGGCACCAGCCAATCAGCGAAGAGCCAGACATTCTGTGTTGTCTACGATTCCCGAGATCGAGGATTTATTTAAAGCTGGAATAAAGTAGAGAATGTTTGTTGAATTTTATCAAGGGGAAAGACGTTAACCCGGTTAGAGGCGCATTACATATGTCATGACCACATAGCAGCGATTGGTTAAATAAAAAAAAGTACCTGCCTACCGTTGAGCGAACAAATTCTAACTCTGTGAGGTCAGACGGTTTCTAAGAAGTAAAACCGGCTGATGAATCAGGCTAAGAGAATCTGCTCTGTTTAAAAACATATTTTTTCCCTACTTAAAACTTTAGAGAAAGACTTTAAAACTGGAGAAACAAAAGAAGACATTGTGTTTGTGTGGCTATACAGTTATAATCAGAGCAGAACAGAGCATTGAGCGTTTTCTGGTCACAGTTAAAGACGGGGTTGATCGACAATTTGGCGTCTTGAGAATAAGCGATTAAAAATGTCTCCAACACGCACGAATCACTCCAAATAAAACTTTGACTGTGCAAATTGTGAAAGGAAACAGCTATAACAGCCTTGCATAATAACACAACATAATAGAGCTGCTTTAACGGGCCAAGTGTGTTTATGTGCGCTTTAGTTTTTATCTTTATCCTCTAAAATAACCTTCTATAGTGCACTCCCGAGGCGGTGAGAGCAAAGCACGTGTCCAATTTTTCCAGTTTATGCGCTGACTTTTCATTTAAAAGCGTTACCTTGGTGATTAGTCATCTCTTTAGTATTTGCACAGTCACCGTAATATTTTTAAGCTGCTGCGAGAGGCTCTGTGTACAAAGCGGTGATTAGTGAAAGCAATTCAGGTTTCAGCCATTCACGCAGTCAAAGCAGTAAACCTATTCAAAATAATCTGTTATCTCGCATTTTGTTAAATATTAAAGAGCCATATTGCGCTATTTTCTGATCTGTGTTATAATGTTTCCTCATCGCAAACAAACTACGAGTTTTGTTTTGTTTAATCCACACGTTTAAGTAAAAAATGTTTAGTTTTGTGAGATCTGGTCAGTGGAATATTTCCCTTTCCAGCTAAAATCCTGTCTTTTGAAAATATCTGAGTGTTTTTAAATGTTTGGAATTCCTTTAGTGTTGTCCAGATAACTGTCTGAAAACAAACCTGCTGCCAGCGCAGAACTCCAGTGCCAGAAAGTGCGAATAAAAAAAACAAACAAGTCATTCCTGGCTTAAAATGGCATTGGCTTAAACAGGCCTAACATCACTCGCCCCCTAGTGGTGACATACATTATTACAACTACAACTAATTCAGAATGGAAAATGCAAATTCTGATAAATGAACTTCTATATTGTCCTGCAGATAAATAATGTTATAATTATAGGATAGTTTAAAGAATTTGTTAAATTTGAGCTGATTTTCAACCCTCCTAGTTGGTTTTGAATTGACTTTTTTAGCTTTTCTTTAGAGTTAATTTCATTTTTTTCTTCCAGATTTTGGATCACAGGACTGCTATGACATTCCTCGGTCGTTTCCCTCTGACAAAAGCTGCTCATTTGATTTCAATGAAAGCTTCAATAGTTATTTTGTAAGTATCGACATCTACACGACCAGTCGAAAGTTTGGACGCACCCTCTCATTCTGTGTTTTTTTTCTTTACGTTTACTACTTTCTATGTTTTCTATACATACAGAAGACATTAAATATATGAGGCAAGATGTGTGGAATTGCGCAGAAAAGGAATAAAATTTAAATAACGACAGTGTATTTTTTTATATTCAAATTCTCAGAGTATCCACACTTTGCTTTTCGATCTCTTGGAAATGGTTTTCACTTCACAGCTGTGCCATGTCAGGGTCAACAAAAGCCAAAAGTACAAACCTTTTTCAATTTTTACGTGTCAATTCATAGTTTTGATGCCTTCAGTGAGAATCTATAATGTAAATAATCCGGGAAATAATGAAAATGAATGTAATTTTGAGACATCCAGGAGTAAGATGAGTTAAATGAAAAACAACTGGACTTACTTTAACGTTTTAACATCTTGCTACCAGCCAGCCAGTTTCATCGAGGTTATGTTTAAACTCCCAAAAGATGCAGTGAAGGCGGTGAAGTTTAAGATTGACTCCAATCCAGTTGTTTTTGTTTAACCACCATATTTTTTGGACTATAAGTCGCTCCGGAGTTTAAGTCGCACCAGCCAAAAAATGCGTAATGAAGAAGAAAAAAACATAATAAGTCGCACTTTTTGGTCGAAATTTATTTTATAAAATCAGGGACCACGAACCAACATTTTATCTTGAAAGGCAAGTTATAGTAATATCCATGCATCCATTTTCTTCCGCTTATCTGGGGCCGGGTCGCGGGGGCAGCAGTCTAAGCAGGGACTCCCAGACTTCTTTCACCCCAGACACGTCCTCCAGCTCCTCCATGGGGACCCCAAGGTGTTCCCAGGCCAGCCGAGAGACATAGTCCCTCCAGCGTGTCCTGGGTCTTCCCCGGGGCCTCCTCCCGGTGGGACATGCCTGGAACACCTCCTGAGGGAGATGTCCAGGAGGCATCCAGAACAGATGCCTGAGCCACCTCAGCTGGCTCGTCTCGACGTGGAGGAGCAGCGGCTCTACTCCGAGCTCCTCCCGTATGACGATAACTCACACAGGAGTTATAGTAATAAGAATAGAAATAAAGAACAACAGGCTGAATAGGCGTCTAGCATGTTAACATAATGTATGTTAATAGTTGTTCAGATAACTATAGCATAAACAACATCACATAAGTTTACCAAACTCTCCATCTCACTCCAGATCACTAAATCCATTGAATCCATTGAATTCTTCATCCTCTGTGTCACTTCTGAGCAACTCCGCGCAACTTCGATTGAACTTCGACTTCGGTTCCCGTGAAGCTGTGTTCTCCATTCCCGCTTTCCGTCAGTGTCTCACAAGTTTCTCGCTCACTCCAAACTTTCTTTCTGCTGCTCGATTACCGTTTTCAGCTGAATATTTCACTACCTGCACGAGACATGCGTAGAAAATTGACACACAAGCCTAGAGCGCCCTCATGCGGTTGTCAGTCTGAAAAATTTAATATATAAGTCGCACCAGGAGTATAAGTCGCAGGAAACACCCAAACCATGAAAAAAAAAGTGTGACTTATAGTTAGAAAAATACGTAATTGATAAGAAAATGAATGAAAACTGTCTGAACTTTTGACTCGCTGCGTATTTTCAATATTTGATCACATGCCTCAATATCTGCTTCATCTCGTTACTAGAAAAACAAAGGTATGATGCCCTTGGGGAGCCAGTCCACCGAAGAGATGGATCAGAACTACGTGCCCATGAGCGCCAACTCCCCGTCGCACCACTCGGGCAGCCTGTCTGAGCCCATCCACGAAGCCAACTACGTGCCCATGACCCCCAGCAGCATGGAGTTCTCCTCTCTGGGTAAACAGGTGCCTCCCCCTGCGCACATGGGGTTCAGGTCCAGCCCCAAGACCCCCCCTCGTCGCCCCATGATGAGCGAATGCCAGCCCCCTCCAGTGGACCGCAACCTCAAACCTGACCGTAAAGGTGAGAGCGACAGAGGTACTAAAGCATGCGCAGCTTCACTAAACGGCATTAACAGCGTCCTGGGGGTTTGCTCTGGGGTCTGTTCTGACTAATGTGACAATCTGACTGCTCACTGTGCTTCGTGTTTACTGCTCATTTCTCTAGCGCTGGCTCATGGGTATTAAATAAACCAGTGTTTTGCTGAATAAATATTGTTTATTTTTGTTTGGTCTGTTCACTCCTACTTACTGACTCAAAGGTGCACTGCGGAACTTTTCTAGTGGGTTCATCGTCAGCTTGTCTTCGTGGAGATGTTATTGCTTTGTCTAGACCAGGGTTGGGCAATTATTTATTCCATATGGCCACATGAGAAACAGAAAATATTGTGGAAGGCCGGGCCAAAATGCTTAAATCAATTCTAAAAAAACAGTAAATATCATTGTTTTGATGAGCTGGTCAGACTGGTTACAGTTTATGTTATGACTAAGCAATGAAAAAGTGAAGTTGCCTTACCAAAAATGTCATTTAAAAACACCTCTAAAATAAAAGCAATGCAGCTTTAGTCCATGCATGAGGTAAAATTATAAAACATGTTTATTTTGTAATTCCAAATGAGCTTAAACGGGTCGGTCAGAGTCGACCAAATGTGGCCCAGGAGCTGGACAAGGCCCAGGTCTGGTCTAGAATGTTCCACAGTAGAAATTAAACCTGTCTATCTCAAGGGAGACAACTATAGGCTACATTACAGGTCAGATCTGTGGAGAGGCAACCCTATTCACAGAGAGAATTATTGTATTTTTGAGCAATAGAAACATCCGTAATGAATAAAAGCTAAATAGATGTGTTTAATGACATATCATGGAACATTCAAGGCAAAGCAATAACATCTCCATGGAGACAAGCAGGTGACGGACACTCCACCAGAAAAGTTGTGCAATCCACCTTTATTTTCATTTGACAGATTAATATATTTTTTAATTTATAACTTTGGTTTTGTGGGATAGAACCTGAAGTAAATATTTATCATAATTTTACATCTGTTAAGTCACAGTTTGTGGAAAAAAGTAGGAAACAAAAAGTTGAAAAATACATTAAGCTAAAACAAAAACTTGTAAACCTGATGCCCTGTCACGAGATCATGAAGACCTAAAATTCCATCGGAAATGCAGTGCCAATTTATGATTTTTCTGACATTGAAAACATTGATTTAACAAAATAGCGATATTGCCTTTTTTTTTTTTTTTTATTCAGTCATAACTAGTGAGCAGTTTAGATGAGTTTTGGAGAATTTTGACCTTAATGTTTGGTTCAGCCGTCCATGTAATTCAAATCTGTCAACTCGATAAAAGTTTTTGAGTGAAGACATTTCGCTGGCCTCTTCTTCTTCAGTTTTGGTCAGACGCTCGTGGACACTGCGCTTTATATTTGTCGAATCGATGAGCAAACTACACTGAAACTACTCTGAAACTAACACACCTACTAGTATTTGTTTACAGTTTCTTTACTCGGTCTGCTGAACTACAGAAAGTGTGAACTGTCCCTGAGTCATGTTTTGCATCATCGTTCAGGTATTTTCACTATTGGTTTCCTTGTTTAAATGTTATTACTCCATCCTCAGACCGAAAACCAAAACAAGGAAGACAGTAGTGATAATCAGTATTCTAACAAGTGTGAGATCAATCAATTCAATTTATTCTTATTTTTTCACAATTATCTATTATAATTCCACATAGATACACACATATACTTATTCGTAAGTATGTGCAGTCATTTGCCAATATGTGAAAACTGAAAAAAAATAAATAAATAAATAAAAAATACGGACACCCAAAGATGCTATGCAAGTTTATGGAACTGGGTCCATCACCACTACGTGATTAATTAATTTGACAGATTACTTCAGTTTTTGGTTAAAATACTAAATAAAAAACTAAACAAACAAGGAATGACAAAAACAAAATAAAAATAAAATAATAATAATAATATAATAATAAATAAATAAAAATAAATAAAAATAAATAAAAATATGTGAATAAATAAATAAATAAATAAAAATATGTGGAATAAATAAATAAATAAATAAAAATATGTGGAATAAATAAATAAATAAGTAAGTAAATAAATAAAAATATGTGGAATAAGTAAGTAAATAAATAAAAATATGTGAAATAAATAAATAAATAACAATATGTGGAATAAATAAATAAATAAAAATATGTGGAATAAATAAATAAATAAATAAAAATATGTGGAATAAATAAAAATATGTGGAATAATAATATAACTACATCAATTATGGGCCTGAACAATTATGTAGAATATGACTCGGGGACATTATTAAAATTATTACAGGAGTTTCAGTGTAGTCTGTTTCTCTCTTCAAACTGATATAAGACAGATAGGTATAAGTTCATCACTGCGGCGAAACGTCTTCACTTTAAAACCTTTAGTCCCAGTGACACAATTGAATTTTTCATTTTTTATTATGGTTGCTGGGTAAAGTACAATCAAGCCCTTCACCAAAATGACAAAACTAGAAAAGACAAGGCAGTTTTTTTGTTTGAAATCTTAAATATATTGAGGTTTATAGTCGTCTAACCTCTCTAATGCACTTTAACCCACTTCATTAAGTAGGTCTGGAATGCCTCTTATTTCGTCTTACACCCAGTGACATTTACAGTAGTTATTTGGTTTCATTCTAGTGCTTTCCTTTACCATTTTATTTTAGTTAAGTACAAGTAAAATCTGCCTGAAAATGACACGAGACACCAGCTAATAACAGATGATTTTTCAGAGCCGGGTATAGACTGTGCTCAGTGTGATACCAGTGTCCCCATCTTCTGTTACAGACTATTTTCACCTTTTGAGGTTTTTTTTTTTTTGAGTTTGTGCAGTGGCTGTATCCTCTCTCGGCGCAGATAGGTCCGTGACAAAAGCGCTGTTGTTTAGCTGGGGCCTGCGGAGTGTTTTGGAGGGTGCTGGTCACCTCCATCGCCTTTGTTCCACTCGTCTGAATGGAGTCCTTTGATTTGAGACCTAAAAGAACCAGGACTTTGGCTCTGTGCAGGGAGAATTATCACACACACAGACTAAAGCTACAGAAACATCATGGTTAGTTATTAGGGAAGTCATTATATTTTAGTTTTAGTGTTATGTTTATTGTCAGTGAAACACCAACTTCGACTTCCAAATATCGATTCAGACAATATTCAGAAACTTTGTGTTTTCTTCTAATGAGATAAAGTGTAAAACGATAATAGCTTATTTACCTGTTTTTGCAGTTTGTCTTGGTAGGAGAAAACACAAAGTTTATATACAGATGTGTTCAAAATTGTTGGTACCCTTCTGGTAATGAAAGAAAAATCAACAATGGTCACTGAAATAACTTGAAACTAAGAAAAGCAATAATAAATAAAAATGTTCTGAAAAATAACCAATGAAAATCACACTGTTTTTGAATTTTTGTTCAATTGAATAATTAAAAAAGAACAAACTAATGAAACTGGCCTGAACAAAAATGATGGTACCCCTAGAAAAGATTGTAAATAATTGGACAATAGGGACAGAAATTGTTTGTTAGCAGAGTTTGCCTCAAAAGGTTGTGTAACAAAATATTAAGTAAAGGGTACAGTCATTTTTGTCCAGGGCAATTTCATTATTTAGTTTTTTCTAATAATTCTATTGAACCACAGGTGAAAAGCAATGTTTGATTTACGTAGGACCATTTTCAGTAAATTTTTATTTATTATTGCTTTTATCAGTTTCAATTTATTTCAGTGATGATTGTTGATTTTTCTTTCATTACCAGAGAGGTACCAACAATTTTGAACACGTCTGTATAATAAGACTTTTTACTGGTCGTAGCTGACCCAGAAAGTCTCAGAATGTTTGAATGTTTATTTATACAAACCTGCTCTGAAATTACTTGAGGGATTTTGTCTTATTTTATTTTAGTTTAAATTAAATTAATGCTGTTTTCAGTCCCTGCACTGGTTACTTATTATTGGGTATTAGCAGATACTTAAAGCTATAATACTGGAATCAGTATTGGAACTGAAAAAGCTGAATCGATGCATCCCTAGTTATTATAAAAAGAAACATCAGTATTTTTTTTTTTGAACTTTTATTGCCAAAAGTGTTTTTCACATCAACAGTGTCCTGAGACCGGGCCTTCACACAGTTTATATATTTACAGTTTTTTCCCTTTTCTCCTTTTTCTAGAAGAAAAAACAATTAGTAAAAAAATTAATAAAAAAATAAAGCATGTTAGGGCTTAAGTGTCTTATTTGAAAAAGTAAATCACTGGACCATGAAACATCACAATTTAATATTAATTATTATTAATGACAACATAACCAAACAGACAGCTGATTCATTCGTTTTATCTTATCTCTACTTATTTTATTATATTATTATCAACAATGTGAGGAACACTTTAAATGATGAAGGTAATTCATTAACAGCCAGATAAAGACACTATTCAGATTTATTTTTGAGTTTGTATTGTGTATCGTGCAACCAAATTTCCACTGAGCTCAACTGAAATGACTTAATTTTTTTTCTGATTATTATATATAGTGTCCTGAGTAATCACTATTATCAACATTCTGCAGAATTTTATTTTTAATATAGAAAAAGCTGCAGTTTTAAGACATTAATACATTAAGTGTGTATGTTTTTAATAGAACCTGAGCTACAAGTCTAAAGTAGGTCTTGAATTTGATGCCAGGGCTAAAGAAGCGCATCTTTTATTTGCATTATGTTATATTCACAAGACAAATCTCTTTTTCTGATGCATATTTACCATGAGCCATGCTGTTTTCTGTCTCATCTTGTTATTAATACAGATCATTTTTTTCTGAAACTGTTTAAAAAACCTGTGATCTCTTCCTTGACTAACTGAATGAAAATGAAAACAAGGAGCTCGTTCTCGATTCAAAGTCCTCTCCTGTCTCCCGTGACATTTGCATGCACAGGTGTGATGTCAGTGTTTGTGTGGGAGACCGTGGTGCATGGAGCGAGGTGCATGCCGGTTAGCATCGTCTGCTGTTGTCATGACAATCGTCCTCTTCATAACTGCACAGAAATGGTGTACAAAATTATCTAGCTAAGTTAAAATGACTTAAAGGTGTGTTGTGTAACTTTTACAGTGGACCGTCGAACACTTTTCTCTGCGGAGATGTTATTAATTGGTCTGGAACGTTTCACAGTATGGCGTTAAACCTTTCTATCTTCATGGAGACCAAACCAGGCGAAGTTACAGGTCAGATCTGTGGAGAGGCGACCCCGCTCACCTGTTTTTCTGGTATTTTTGAGCAATAACACCACCTGTAATTGAATAAATGTAAAGTAGAGCTGTTTAATGTCACACTGTGGAACATTCCAGGCAGAGCAATGACGTATCCATAGAAACAAGCAGGTGATTGACCCCTAACCAAAAAGTTACACAATGCAGCTTTAAATTAAGAACATGTTACTTTATTTGAGTAGGTTCAACTTGACAAGTGAAATTATCTACCAGTGGAACAAGTGTGATTTTCTTAATTCAAGCAACATTTTATTTTGTTTCTTAGGACCTGTTCACACGAGAACACTTGGGAGTAAAAATGACAGAATATTTTATCGGAAGTGTCTTTCGTTTAGACGGTGACGGCGTTTTTGGGGCTTAAAAACACGCTCCGCCATAGCATTTCCATCTACACTGCCCAAGACGCAAAACTCTGGTCAGATCTGCTCACGTCACATACACGTTTACGTCACATACATACAGTACGCAGAAACAAACATGTCGGATGGCATGCATACCCAATCGAATTCCACACACTTTTGCGTCACCGTATGCACGCAGAGTTCCTCCTGAAAACGCTCATTTAAACATGGAATAAAAAGTGAAGATGCAACGCCACTTTTGTGTCTTCTGTTCAGACTGTCATCATATAAACATAGCCTAATTTTAAATGCAAAGAGTTGTTGTTGTTCTTATCTTAAAGGTGCATTGTGTAACATTTCTACTGGAGGGTCTGTCACCTGCTTGTTCCTGGAATGTTCCACAGTGTGACATTAAACAGAATCCATGTGTCATTCATTCATTTTCATTCGTTTTTTAAAATAAAACCAAAAATAAGAAAACGAAAAAACAACAGTTTTCTTCATTATTTGTTTCCAAAACCAAAGTGAAAAAACGGATAACGACCGTTTCCCGTTTACGTGACTTCCGTGACTGTGATGCCAAATTTTTGCCCTGCGTACAGACTGAACCAGGACTGAACCAGGACTGAACCAAGACTAAACCAAGACTAAACCAGGACTAAACCATTTTCAGTCCTGGTCTGGTCCTGGTCTCAATCTTGGTCTCAGTCCCGGTCCTGGTCCCAGACTCAGTCCTTGTCTGGTGCCGGTCTAAGTCCTGGTCTCAGTCCTGGTCTGGTCCTGGACCTGGTTTAATCCTGGTTCAGTCTGGCATCTCCGTCACGGAAGTCACGTAAACGGGAAACGGTCGTTATCCGTTTTTTCTATTTTTCATTTAAACACAAAATGGAAAACTGAAAAAACAAATCATTATCATATAGTTTTTTCATTTTGGTTTTGGAGACAGACAATGAAGAAAATAGTTGTTTTTTCGTTTTCTTATGTTTTGTTTTATTTTGAAAAACAAATGAACAAATGATACACGGATTAAACAGCTCTACTTTACATTTATTCAAGTACAGGTGGTTTTATAGCTCAAAAATACTTTGAACAACAGGCATTTTCACTGTGAGCGGGGTCGCCTCTCCACAGATCTGACCTGTAACTTGGTCTGGTTTAGTCTCTATGGAGATAGAAAGGTTTAAAGCCATACTGTGAAACATTCCAGACAAAGCAACAACATCTCCATGGAGAAAAGCATTTGATGGAAGCTCCACCAGAAAAGTTACACAATGCATATTTGAACTTGTTCCATTGGTAGATAATCATGAAATGTACTCAAATACAATAAATTCTTAATTCAAGAAATCTTAACTTGGCTAGATTTTCGTTTTTTGGAGTGATCAGTGGATGTTCTGCAAATTCTCGTCTTTGGCTTTGCATGGCAGGGCCGTTGTGAACTGTTGTGATTTCCAAAAGATTTTATAATGAGCCCAGTTTTCTTTCGCCAATCAGGTCAAAGTCCTAAAATAATAAGAGCAAAAGGTGTGGGTTTAGAGAGAACGGACTCTCAAACCGTAGGTGAATTCCCCAGGGGACGACGTAAGGGTAGGTACTTCACACTGAACTGCTGTTGTGTCTGAAATCTTCTGACTTGTCCAGACTGTTCCATCTCTGTCCTCTGCATGCACTGGGTGATCCATTACTGTGTGTGTACAGGGACTTCTCTGCGTTTTTGTCCTGTTAGTATCTACACTGTGTACAGAGTGTGTGCTCTCTGTTCTATCACCATGTTTGAAAGTCAGTCTGATTGGCTTTATCAGGTCTTGATACTTGAGATTCTTATGTACAGACCTCTATAAGTTTCATACTTTGACAGTTTCAGCTGCGATTTTCTCAGGCCCCGTCCACCCTAGTTTGTATTCGAGCCATTTTTGTTGTGGATGCAGTGTTCGTCCACACTAATCCAATGGAAAACGGCTCCAGAGACGTGCTGCCAGCTCCCACAAATTCATCTGAGTACGGATCTGATTCGGCACTGTGTGGATGCCTGAAAACGCTGATACTCTGATGTAAGATCTCTAGTTGCCGTCCTTCTTGGACCACGTCACTGTGACTTGTGCCTTCCTGATTCACTGGGTTTGTGACATCGGTCATGTGACGCTATTGCGGAAAACAATTTAGGCAAACCAGAGACAAACGAAAAACAGCGTAGCTAGAAATAGTTTGACAGAACAGACTCACCATCAGCAGAATATCCCTCTGTCACAGAAAGAACACAATATTCCACTGAGTTGTGTCCTTTTTTAAGTCTGACAGAAGCTGGGCACAAGGAGTGAGCTGTTTTTTGAGCGGGTTAGTTTATGCAAATTCGCCATGTCATGTGGTTTTAAGTTTTGTTTCTGTAAAATGTAAACAAATATGCTCAAAGCTGTGTGGATAGAGAAGACTTGCAGACACAGAAACGACATGTCTAGACGCAAATCGTTCCGATACGATTATACGGTGATTCGTTTCAGTGTAAAGTCACGGGATGTTGCTGTGATGAAGTTTAGTTTAGTCTATTTGTTTATATATCGGGGAGAATGCACTTAAAAAAAAAACATTTACCTACACAAAGAGGTCATATAAAACTTATCACCTCTGCCAGGTTCATTTCCAGCTTCAGTCCGTGGAAAGATTGATGTCATAAATGTCGTACATCTCAAACCCAAATCCACTTTATTTACATAGCACATTTTCCAAACAAAGCAGTTTCCAAAGTGCTGCAGAGAGATCATAAAATGAAAACCACAAAAAGGTAAATTGCTAAATTGTGATCACACCAGTCCTAAAACAATAAAACCAATAAAATAAGATAAAAAAATAGCAGTAACTAGTAAAATAAATAAAAGACACAGAGGACCACATAACTCACACAGTGTTAAAAGCCAAGAAGCCAGTGCAAAGACGCAAAAATCGGGGTAATGTGCTCACAGTTTTTGGCGCGCAGCAGAATTTTTGACTGACTGTAAGCGAGAAAGTGCATGGTGGCTGATGCGGGGAAAAAATGCATTACAGTTGTCAAAACAAGAGCAGATAAAAGCACGCGTGACCTGTTCAAATGATTAAAAAGATAAAAAAGGTTTAATTTTAGATAAAAGCTGCAAATGATAAAAATAAAATACAATGTTTATTAGTAGGAAAACAGCTCAAAAATGTGTTGAAATGAGCTGACCGGACACAACATGGAAATATTACGTGACACTTTTGAGGAAGGTTGCAAAGTGTTGACAAAACTTTGAAGATATGAAACTAATAGAGGTTTGTGCATAAGAATCTGAAGTATCATGTTTGAATGTTCATTGTATGATTTTATTTGTTTACAGTGTTTTTTCTGTGAGTGTATAACAGTGCATGATGACAGAGTGACCAGCGTATTTCAGAGACGTGAAGGGCATAGACTGTTTATATAAAAAGGGAATAACGCTGAGACTGCACCGAGACCATGTCAGAGTGTGTTTGAGTGAGTGAGTCTGTGTCAGGACGGCAGTGGCGGTGCAACTTAAAGGTGCACTGTGTAACCTTTCTGGTAGTGATGGGCGAATGGAGCCTCGTGAAGCATTGACACCTCAGTCGCAACATCGTCTCAAATGGTTTCGACGTGTCTGAGGCCTCGGAGAAACACTGACCTCTAGTGGGTAAATTTAACCATTGGAACGCAGGTGTCTCAGCATTGATGAAGTATTGTTAGTGTTAGACAGTACTTGTGTGCAGAGCAACACCGTACCTAACAACAACAATAATAATAATGATGATTTCAAATAATATGTAAAGAGCAACATAAATATCATGCTGTAAATTAGAAAATAGGTCCCAAAGTGATCCCAAACCATTTTCCCACTTGTAGATGCCATCAAAAATGAAACAAATGCCAAAAGTCACCAAAATCACCACTAACGTCACATGATACTCCTCACTGCCCAATGTTTTTAAGAAATATTGGTGCATCTTTTATACTGTAGCAGTTTAGAGCTTGTCAAACCACTGAAGTGCGCTGAACACTCTGAAGCACTCTGAACCAATCACAGAGCGGAACATTCGCCGAGCCAATGAAACGCTTCGATACATTGAAGCGATTGACACGCAGAGCGAAGCAGTCGGGGGAGGGACCGACACTTCCACACTTCGGTCACGTGAGCGGCTGCTGCGAGACGAGCTCCGAGGCAGTGCTTCGGAGCAATTTGTTTCAGAAAGAACGAGACGTGCTCCGGAACTCCGTCTCATTTGCCCATCACTACTTTCTGGTGGAGGGTTTGCCACCTGCTTGTCTCCATGGAGATGTTATTGCTTTGCCTGGAATGTCTTACAGTGTGGCATTAGCAATGAACTTTTCCATGGACACAAGCGGGCAGCTCCTCTAAGTTTCTTATCATGGTTTGACTACTTACCTTTTTTTCTAGTTGAAGAAGAAGGGGGATTCTTTGGCCTTTCACTGCATGTTATCAAACTGTTTTTGTATGTTTTAACATTTGTATGTGACAAATGTGTATCTGGAGATTGATATTGATGTAAGGCTTAGGGTGACCAGAAGTTCTTATTTATCCAGGACAGTCCCAGTTTTGAGCCCTGTGTCCAAAACCAGTTCAAAACCAGTGATTTGTCCCAGTTTTATACAAGAAATGTCTTTATTTTTACCCAATCTGATCCCTGCCAACAGTAAAGAGAGGCATAAATTGTCATATGTTGAAGTAAAATCCAAGAAAGCTGCTTAAAAATGACCAAAATACAAAGAAAATGTGACACATGTTCGTCATGAATGGTCTCAGTTTTCCTTAATTACGCAGTCGTTTCCAGATGTCCCTGTTTTTTATTTTGAAAATCTGGTCACCCTAGGCTTGCTCGTATTTCAAGAAATATTTTAGCTTAAAATTAAATAACCACAACTGAACAAATGCAAATGTCACACATGTAACGTAACACAATAACATCTACATGGAGACAAACGTGGCAATAATATTACAGTCAGTTTTACTCAGAATACACCTTACACACCTTTCATATCCGGATATTTTTTGACGTAGGGGGCTTAAATCTATGTCAGGAACAACTTGTCACACCATCACAGCAAACCTTTATCTATTTTCTTCTTATGTGTCAGGAAAACCCGCCCCACTGGAGATCAAACCTCTGCCGGAGTGGGAGGAGCCTTGTACCCCGGTCCGCTCGCCCGTCACGCGCTCGTTTGCCAGAGAGTAAGTGTCCTAACGTCACAGCTCTATGTTTTACTTACATAGACACGGGCTTGTTCACACCATTCATTTTACATTTGTTTCTTTAATTAAATGTCCTATATTACGAAAAATTTAAGTCATGTTATAATGTTGTTACCTCGTCAAAAACAGACCTGGAGTTGTGTTTTGTTTCATTCACACATGTTTGAATAATCCTTTATTATTTCTCTGTCTACATCTGCAAAGGTCAAAATGTTCTGTTCCACCTTGTGATGTCACGAAATGGTAGTTTTTAAGTTAAGAGTTTCATTAGACATAATTATATAAATATTTTAGATTTTATTTTGACATGTGCACATACAGTTATACAATTATGTCTATTTCACCCCGGTCTTTTGCTATCTTTTTGCTACTTATTTAAAATGTATTATTACCATTTATATTTTTTATAGTTTTTACACTTTGTTATCTTATATATTGTGATGTGTGAGCTAATGTTTCCAGATAATTTCCCTTGTGGATCAATAAAATTTGTCTAACGAGAACGCTTGTGGGTAAAAATGACAAAATATTTTATCTGAAGTGCCTTAAGTTTAGAGCAGACGTGTCAAACTCAGGCCTGGGGGCCAAATTTGGCCCATGATATAATTATATTTAGCACGCGAGATCTTATCAAATATGTATTAGAGCTGATCCATCAGCTACAGCTAGGCTATAGAGACATTATTTATTTAAAATATTATGATTTTATATTTTGCTTATTCTGGATTCAATGTTTAGCAAAACTATTATTAAACATTTATTTTAATAAAAAAAGGTTTAATATTACATATCTCAAAATAAGAGAAAACATGCAGATGTTGTTGAAATTTTGCAATAAATATTTAGTTTGGCCCACGACTGTGATGGCGTTTTTGGGTGGAAAAGTTGAATACGCTCCGCCGTAGTGTTTACGTCTACACTGCCCAAGACGCAAAACTCTAATCAGATCTGCTCACGTTGTGTACACGTTTATGTCACATACACACAGTACACAGAAACATGACATGCATACCCAATCATGTTCCACACACTTTTGCGTCACCATATGCACGCAGATTTCCTCCAGAAAATGCTCATCTAAACGCAGATCATATAAACATATCCCAAATCTAAATCTAGAAATTGATAATTCCAAGTCTGAAATCATCCAAAGTGATTCTAGTGAAAGTGTATTGAGTTTAAAAACACAGTGGAGCACTTCTTGTATTACCACATGACATCACGAGTTGTTTGAGAGAAGAACTTGACATGAATACTGTGCAGGTTTTGTGTGTTAAACATGTGTGAATGAAACAAAACACAACTATAACATAATATAAAATAACGTAATATAGGCTCTTAAATTTGATTGGACACCACAAAATATTGCAACCAAATTGAAATTGCACTTTGGTACAATTTGGTACAATTATCAAGTCACAAAGGCTGCAGTTTTTTAGATAATAGAATCAAATGTGGATGTAATGGAAGTATTTTTTTGTATTAATTCAGCTTCAGTCTTCAGTCTCAAATGAATTGTTTACAAAGCTCACTCTGAATAGAATTGTACTTGTGCTGCTTTCAAAAAAGAAAAGTCTTAAAAACAATATTCAGACTGTCTTGTTTTTCTGTTATGTAAAAAGGACATTTTGTACTAGAATGTTCTCAGCACGGAAATGAATTTGGTGTGAGCAATTGTCTAATAGAAAGTTAAAAAAAAACAAAACATAGGAACTAACCCTTCATGCATTACTGTAGTGTCTCTGTAGCTGTTAAATAACATTACACATGGGGTTAATGGGGCTTCTCTCTTTAGCTCTGTTTCATAAAATGCAGTTTATGTGCTTGTATTATTTATTTGTGAATCGTCTCAAGCTAAGATGGAGGATTTTCCCGTTTCATATTGATACTTTGCAGCTGATGTCAAAGGAGGGGAGGGGTTTCTAACTGGAGGCACTACTCTGTTAGACGCTCTGTTACTCAATTTAGACTTGATCTGAGTTTTATTTTAACACATTGGAACTACAACAGGTGAGATCATTTGTGCACATAAACAAGTTAATACATAAATAAATATAAATATTATTATATTATTATTATTATTATTATTATTATATTATTATTATTATTATTATTATTATTATTATATTATTAATATAATAATAATAATAATAATAAAAATTCTAAAAGTTTGTAAATTTTCATATGAAGAATTAAAATTGTATTCCTCACTCCCAATCTTCTAAATAAATAACAATAAATGGAAAAGTTCAAAGAAGTGTTTGAGGAGATGCAGATTCCTATCGTAATATAAATATAAAAATTATATAAATATAAAACAAAAAATTTATATAAAATAAATACATAAATGAAATAATAATAAAAATAAATAAAATAATAACTGTTAAACATAATGCAGTATAATACAAAAAAATAAATAAATAAATAATAATAATAATAAATAAATAAATTATAATAAATAAAAATGGGTATAATTATATTAAGTATGCTTAATATGTAATTTATTTTGCTATATGTAAATATTTGTAAAGTTTCATTACCAGTGTACAGAAGCAACCACATAATTTTTTTTAAATATGTAAAGAAAAGGAGCGGGTTAATATAAGTTTTTCTTGTCCCCACTCCTTTTCGAGAAATGTTGCTTTTCTGTTATTTACAGTGTATATGTAGTATGTGCATGATTATTGTTTCTTTCTTGGCAAAAACTCGAAATACAAACAAATCAATTAATCAAAAATTACACAAGTTAGCTATCATTAATCCAGAAACCGTTTTGTGTATTGACTTCTTGGGTTCTTTTTAAAGATCGCTCCCACTGTATTGTTTTTAAAAAGAAAATAAAAGGAAAAGAAAAACTATTGGCTAATGCTGGAGTTAGAAAACCAAACTCCTAAACAGGACCATGAACGCTCTTATTGATCAAAAACTCCTGAAAACGTGATGTTAAATCCATTTCTTGAAATTTCAGCCTTATCTTAAAGCGCTGAACCTTATGCCCATAGAGACATATCTAGAACACCCCCAGCACGACATCACTGCAAAGTATCCATAGTCCAGGTCCAGACCTTTAAAGATTTGAACAGAACGTAAAACTCACCAGGATGCTGAGGCTGAAATAACTCATTACGTTTAATTTTGTGAGCTGTGTTTCTTTGGAGATCGGCGTGTAAACCTTGTGAATGCTCCACAGTTTCTCTAGGTTTCCAATCCCACCGCGACCTGCGTCAGTGCATAGTACAGCCTCCAGCACTGACTCTGAAGAATGTGATGACAATTATGTGCCAATGGTGCCCCCAGACGAACCAGTATGTAAAGCTAACACTGTTTCTCAATCAGCCAATCCTTATCAGTCTTGCTTTAATTGGGTGTAATTAAGCGAGACATCCATGAGTAAAATCAGCGAGTTAAACGAAAATAACAAAAACCAAGCCCTGATGAAGCTATCTTTTTGGCAGTGGTGCACTAAGTACTCAATTTTACTACTTAAAGGTCCACTCTGTAACTTTTTGGTTTTGTGTCTGTCACCTTCTTGTTTCTATGGATATGACATTAAACAGATTTACTTAACATTTATTCAATTACAGGTGCTTTTATAGATTGAAACTACCTGAAAAAAGGCATTCTGACTGTGAGCGGGGTCGCTTATCCATAGATCTGACCTGTAACTTGTTTTGGTTTGGTCTCCGTGAAGATAGAAAGGTTTAATGCCATACTGTGAAACATTCCACACAAAGCAACAACATTCCCACAAAAAAGTTACACAGAGCAGCGTTAAGTGAAAGTACAGATACCTGAGCAAAAAAATACTCATATAAAAGTAAAACTACACATGAAAAAATCTACTTAGTTAAAAGTATTAAATTACTTGTTTAAAATGTATTTAAAGAGTAAAAACTAAAAGTGTTTTGTGCGGATTTTGAAGTCTTTCAAGTCTTCAAATAATAGTGCTTTTGTGCTGAATATTGTTCACAAATGTGTTAAAAATAAACCTTCAATCTTTTCAGAGGGTCTCAAACACTTATGAAAAAATTCTTTTACTTTGCAGTCCTGCCTAAAAATGTAAAACATAGTAGAAAGTACAGATACCTGCTTGCAAAAGTAGTGAAGTAAAAGTAAAAAAATATCCACTTTAAAATGTACTTAAAGGTGCATTGTGTAACTTTCCTGGTGTAGATTGTACGTCAAATGCTTTTCTCTGTCTGTCTTCATGAAACCGAACCAAGGCTACGTTTACACTGAAATGAATCCGCGTATCAACATATCAGAAACGATCTGCGTCTACGTCGTTTCTGTGTCCGTAAGTCTTCGTTATCCACACAGCTTTGAGCATATTTGTTTACGTTTTACAGAAACTACAACTTAAAACCGCATGGCTAATTTGCATAAACTGAGCGCTCAAAAAACAGCTCGCTATTGTGCGCTGATGCAGTTCAGCTTCTGTCAGACTAAAGGACACGACTCAGTGGAATATGAGTGTTCTTTCTGTGACAGAGGGATGTTCTGCTGATGGTGAGTCTGTTCTGTGCTTCTATCACGTTGGAGATGGTTCATGTGAAACTTTTCAGAGATTATTTGTCTGCAGGTCATACACACAGACCGTATATATATGAATGGACATATATTCTAGCCTCTTAGTGTTTTAGCGGTGAATTACTTCGCGGCGCATAGACCTACATCAGCGTATCAGAGTTTTCAGGCGTCCACACAGTGCCAGATCAGATTCGTACTCAGATGAATTCGTTGGAGCTGGCGGCACCAGATCGTTTCATCTCTGGAGCAGTTTTCAATCAGATTAGTGTGGGCAAACACTGCATCCACAACAAAAACGACTCGAAAACGTACTAGTGTGGACGGGGCCCAAGTTACAGGTCAGATCTGTGGAGAGGCGACCCCGCTCACAGTCAGAACACCAGTTTTTTTCTGGATATTTTTGAGTTATAAAACCACCTATAATTGAATAAATGTAAGGTAGAGCTGTTTAGAGTCACACTGCAGGAACATTTCAGATAAACGTTACATAATGCACCTTTAAGTAAAGTCCAGATACATACAGTTTTTACATAAATACAACACTTTTCTACTTTTACTTCTTTCCCTTTCACCACCGCTGGTTGGTAATGAAACACTGGCTACAAAAAAAATGTAATAAGTCCAGTAGCTTTTGTTTAACTCGCTGATAAATTGGTTGTTTGCAAATACCATATGAAGGTAGAAAAGGCCCTAAATGGTGGACGAACAGCAAACCCCAGATCTATACAGCCTTATTACGTTGTACAAATGACCAGGTGCTGAAGAGGGACTCCTCAGAACTTCATCTTCTTTTTTTTCACAGCTTCGATCCGTCCTTTCGCCCCCTCTCCACTTTTTGTTCTCGCTTTGGCAGCTCTTAAATTGTAACTTTTCTTTTCTTTTACAGGATTCATTTCTCTTTCTTTAAATCCACAGGTCATACGCATTTCCTCTGCCTTACACTTTACTTATTACAGAACCTGTTTTCAAATTGCTTTGCTATTGATTTTCATTTTTTGCTTTTCTGGCTGACGCTCTCTCATCTCTAGTTTGTTTCTGTTCTGGCTTGGTTTTGGCTCGCTCTTTTCTGCACTAAAGCTTATCTTCTGTTTTTCTTGCTTCTGTTTTTTCTGGCTTTTGCTAGAGAGGAGTCCTTCTACTGTACTGTCCCCATCACCCCTATAAAGAGGGAGGTGGAGGAGGTTGAATCCATAGAGGAGGTGAGCAGGGTTGCCACGAACAAAACTGCATGGCTTACCCTGTCCGAAAACTAAAGCATACTGTGTGAATTATATTGCAAGTGTGAAATCATAGTCCTATCTAGCTTAAGTATGCCTCGGTAATAGAGGTGTACTAGTAGATACCATTCTGACATTGTAGTTTAACTCCACCCACCTGTAGTTTAGTGTAACATGTTTTGATTTGCACTTTTTTCTGTGTTGTCACAATATCGTAACAAAAACGTGCATGTAGCATCTTTAAATTTTGATCTTGTGTGATTTTTGAGTTTACAAAGTGCTGCACAAAGATCATAACAATAAAATATCAAAAGGTATAATTGCTCAAATAAAAATACAAATAAAAAAAATTCAAAAAATCAGCTTGAACCAGTATAGAATCAGATTGAAGTTTCTCAAAATACAGATCCAAATCTACATGAAAGACCATATTGGCATTATAAAACAAATGAAACCAACTTTATTGTGACAACACACATATTGTGAAATGTTCTCTCTATTTAAGTATTATTGTTGCTTTAATACAATATCTTTCATGGCATCTAGAACATGAAGCTTGTTCCACCAATGACTGCTGATGGTGGAAGCAGCCCCATGTCGAAACCCAAAGGAGACAAGCAGGTGGAGTATCTCGATTTGGATCTTGAGTCTGGAACCTCTACTCCACCGAGAAAGGTAAGAACAGCCCTGATAGTGATTAACATTAAAATGTGCGTATTGCTTTTATCCAGTGCAAAATAACTTAACATCAGACATTTTAAAATAGAAACACACAAAAACTTGTGTCTTGACCACAGACTGTATATATAAATGGACATAGATAACGCGCTAGTTACCGGGGTCTTAAAGGAAGTTCACATGCGGCGCTTCGGGCTACTACTGACCCTGCTCCCATTGACTTACACTGGAATATTGTCATCCCTCTGAGCCTCGTCATTTTGGTCTTAAAATGTCCATATTAACCTGTTCTGCATGATCCTGGTGTTTTTGTCCATTAAAAAAAAATCCTCTTCATAATGTAGAGTCTGGCTCCATATTTGTCCATATAACCGTTAGTATCACAAGCTTCATTTGAGTGGCGCTGGACGTTGTGGGTGACGTCATACTTGCTCCACTTTTATGAGCCGGTGGTCATACCAGCTTGTCAAAGTCTGAGCCTATTAGACCTCAGAAGCTAAACAGGACCGGGTTGGTTAGGACTTGCATGGGAGACCTCTGGGAGAATCAGGTGCCACAGGGGGGCACCAATCGCAAAAACTGTTGTTGTGTCCTTCTGCAAGGCACTTCACCCACATTACTTAGTATGAAAGTGGTGTGTGCATGAGTGATTGCGGTGGTTGCAGGGGGCTGATGGTGCAGATTGGCAGCTGCACTTTGGTCAGTCTGCCCCAGAGCAGCTGTGGCTACTATAGCAGCTCACCACCACTGGGTCTGTAAAAGCATCTTTGTGACAAATGTCTGTGAAAAGTGCTATATAAATAAAAACTTACTTACTTCTTTATACAGTCTATGGTCTTGACCTAAAACAGACATGTCAGACTCAGGCCTGGGGGTTAAATTTGGCCTGCGATATAATTATATTTGGCCCACGAAATTATATCAGTATGTATTAGAGCTGCCCCTCTGGCTACAAATAGACTATAGAGACATTATTTATTTAGAATTTTGTTATTATTTTATATTACGCTTGTTCTGGATTCACAGTTTAAGCAAAACTATTATTAAAGATTTATTTTAATGAGAAAGGGTTTAACATTACATATCTCGAAAGAAGTGAAAACATGCAGATGTTGTTGGAATTTTTCAATAAATATTTAGTTTGGCCCACGCCCCAGTTTTTAATTTTGGCCCTCTGTGAATTTGAGTTTGATACCCCTGACCTAAGAGGATAATTTCTGATGTAAAACTGTGTAATATAAACACTGTGTCATGACCCTTTATGGCTGGAGTTATGCTCTGGCATGTCATCATCTTTAATCCATCATCTTCTGCGCTGACTTCACAAACCAATCGTCCACCACAACAAAGCTTAGTGTAAAGTTTACTCTGCCCTGAGCCTATAATAATGTTCATTTTAATTGTGTTATTGCAGATGAAAAGCAATGGGGCGGGCATGCCTGCGTCAGACGAGCGCGTGGACTACGTGGTGGTGGACAGGCAGCGGACTCAGGCTTTAAAGAGCACCCGAGAGGCCTGGAACGACGGCCGGCAATCCACAGAGACAGAGACCCCCAACAAAGGAACCAAGTGAAGAGCAGAGTCCCACCCTTCCCCACTTTCTCCCCCCAGCCTACAGCAGCCCCCCACAGAGCTCAGGCCTGTTTAACTCTTGGAGGCTCTCGTGAAGCCCTGGTCCCGTCTGTGCTGTTCTCAGTGGGAGAGTGGAGCTGCTGTCTGTCTGGAGCTCACTGTGCTTCTGTACGTGGAGTGTCGGCCAAGAATAAGCTGTATGCAATGTGAACGCAGGTGACAGACTGGACTTGAATAGGGTTTGACTGTTGCCCCCTTTTGTGGATACATTTTCTTTTTCAATCAGAGTCCAAATTTTTGCTTTGTTTTTCACCTTGAGTTAACATTTCCTAAATTTTTAATGCTGTTCTCGTTCTGAATTCAAGGTAAAATCGTAGATTGCGACAGCTAGCGCGGAGTTGCTCGAAACTATTTTGATAACTTGACTTGATTTCAAACGGCAAACAGTCTGGCCAATGGTATGAAGTTGTTATTGGAGCAGTTTGTGAATCTCTAATGAGAAATGCGACTTTTACAACGCCGCTTTTCAGTCTTCCTGGCTGGTCTCTTCCAGGACAAAATCTAAAATCCACCCGGAAAACAACAGCATATCTGATCCTGCTTTAATTACGTGTTAAACTTTGGAACTTTTGCACTGATTAAACATAAAAGAGGCTTTATTTAGCTTTAAACCAATGAAAACTGGTAATTAGCTTAATGAACCCCATATCAGACCTTGCACTGCCAGTGTTCAGATTCCAGTATTTTACACGCACTTGCCAGCTTATTAAAGGTGCATTGTGTAACTTTTCTGGTGGAGGGATCGTCACCTGCTTGTTTCTGTACTGTTGTTGTCTTTAGTCTGCCTGGAATGTTCCACAGTATGACATTAAGCAGCTCTACTTGATTTTTATTCAATTACAAGTGGTTTTATAGCTCAAAAATACCTACAAAAACAGACATTCTGACTGTGAGCAGGGTCGTCTCTCCACAGATCTGACCTGTAACTTGGTCTGGTTTGGTTTCCAAGGAGATAGAAAGGTTTAATACCATACGGTGAAACATTCAAGACAAAGCAATAACCAGAAGGAGGCCCCAGGGAAGAACCAGGACACGTTGAAGGGTCTCTTGGCTGGCCTGGGAAAGCCTCGGAGTCCCCCCTTGGAGGAGCTGAAGGAAGTGTCTGGGGTGAAGGAAGTCTGGGAGTCCCTGCTTAGACTGCTGCCCCCTTGACCCAGCTCTGGATAAGCGGAAAAAAACACGGAGAAAAGCATTTGACCGACCCTCCACCACAAAAAGTTGCACCTTTACGAACACGGTCTACAAAGCCGTTTAGTTCTTCATATACACTTTTTTTTTCATTACAGTAATCTACAGGGATATTTCGGATTGTTTCTCAGTCTCTGACATATGCAAGCACCAGATTCACAGATGTTTTGCTACAATGACAACAGCCTTATGGACGTGGATTCTCTCTGTCAGTCTATGTAGGGATAACTGTGATCTCCAAGGACATGCACAACTCACGCGGTCAGTTTTGGGCTACGTTCAGTTCGAATTTTATTATTTTTTTCAACTTTTTCCACAAGTGCTTCAATCCATCACGATAAAAGCACAAAACTGTACAAAAGTGTTATGTAAATATCCAAATAAGTGTCCTTTATTTGTATGCGTTTTCCAGTGTGTGACTAAAAGGCTTGTGGATTCTGCAGGGTAGAATCCTCCGTCTGATCGAATAGCGTCAGGACTAAAGAATGAATTACTGTGAGTTTAAATCCATTGTGACATGATTTCTCTAGGTTATGCAAAGGTGGTAAACTTAGGCTAGAGAGAGCAAATCAGGTACTCTTTGCAATGACATACTATTAACAGCTATTCATTTGTAATTTATTTTTCACATTATTTTATCGGGAGATGTCCTGTTCATTTTGTCTGCATAGTTTTACATGCACCGCAGTTACATTCACATGCTCACTGAGATTCCAAACTCTGTTGTCTTAGGTTTAATTTATTTGAAATTGAACTGCCATAATGTTTTAATCAAACCCTCATGTTCTCATCGACATAAGTCTGTGCTTCAAGCCTCACGCATGTGTTCATCAAATACAATAGTTCTGCTGTATATAGACTGCCATTGATTTGATAAATGATTAAAAATTTGCCTACTAAGCCATCTTTGTCACTCTCTTGGTCACTTTCTTTGTGATACAAACTGCAAGGCAGGTGATGCTTTATCTTTTTAATAATTCTTGACAGAAATGTAAATTTTAAAATTGAACTAAATAAAAAAACAACTTTAAAACGTTTGGTTGTGTTTTTGTTAAGTATAATGTGTTGCTGAACATAGGCTACCTCTTCCACAACCCAAAACATGCACCACACCTTAAGTAATCCTGACCAGGCCAAGCAAGAAGATCATGGAGATAGGGTCTTGGCTGTTCCTGAAGAGATGCCCCAGTGGCATTGAAGGATGGACACATTTCGGGAACAATACAGGGGACAATAAAGTACCTTTCCTTCATTGTTTCTTTCTTGATGTGGTGGGGTTCTTCCATAAAAACTCAGGCTTAGCCAGGAAATGCTTTTCGGTGATTTATTGTGCTCTTCAACAGTGCAAAAGGTGCCAAACGTGAGTGGAAAAATATTTACAGTGGCGGTGTGAACAAAAAGACAAAATAAGTTTTTGGTGGACTTCCCCTTTAAGTCCTGCAGCGTTTGCTCGGTCGCTCTCTCTCTCTCTCTCACGCTCTCGGTCGCTCGTTCGCTCTGCCTCACTCCACACAAGTTACCTCCACTGTAACCTGGTCGCGACTGGTTGACAGAGCTGGAGAGCGCACCTTTATATTCCCGTTTGCCCCTCCCACATTACATAATTCCCCCCAATAATCGTGATTTCGCCGTTTCTACGATTAAACGGCCTACGTTCCTTAGCTCGACTGTTATATACTCGTAATAGCTTGCGCCCAAAATGAATAGGTTTTGTATATGAGGTCTGCGAGACCGAAAATACATTTAATTGGCCATGCAAATGAATTGTTGCTCACCTGTTGCTCATAGGGCGTTCCTCTCCGGGTTCTCCTTGAACCAGCACTGCTCCCAGGCCAACTGCGGACGCATCCACTTGCACCCGGAACCTTTCATTGAAATCTGGGCTCTTCAGGACTGGGGAAGAACACAGGATGGTCTTTAGGGTGCTGAAGGCCTGCTCACATTCCTCTGTCCAGTTCACAGGGTTTCGCTGGTTCTTCATGGTGAGGGCTGTGAGAGGAGCAACAATTGTGGCGTACTGAGGCACAAACCGCTGATACCACCCAGTGAGGCCAAGGAATGAGCGGACTTCTTTTTTTGTGCGTGGACGTGGACAGTTCATGATGGCCTCCACTTTGTCCACCTGGGGTCGAACTTCTCCCCTTCCCATCTGGTACCCAAGGTATCATGTCTCTTCTCGGGCCCACTCACATTTGGACGGGTTCAGAGTTAGTCCAGCTTGCGCAATCTTCCCCAGTACCAAGGACAGGTGTTGCAGATGCTCCTCCCACGTGGAACTGAACACCACGACATCATCAAGGTAAGCTGCACTGCACTCTTCACAGCCGACTAGGACCTTGTCCATCAAACGCTGGAATGTTGCCGGAGCCCCATGTAGCCCAAACGGCATGACAGTGAACTGGAAAAGTCCTGCTGGGGTCCGGAAGGCGGTGTATGGACGGGACGCCTCCTGCAGCGGGACCTGCCAGTATCCCTTGCAGAGATCCAGCGTAGTGATGTACCGTGCTGCTCCAATTCGTTCCAGTAGCTCGTCGATTCTGGGCATTGGATATGCATCAAATTCAGAGACAGAGTTCAATTTACGAAAGTCAATGCATATCCTCAAGGAGCCATCCTTCTTGAAAACGATGACCACTGGACTGCACCACTCTGAATTGGACGGCTCAATCACCCCCAACTTCAGCATCTCCTGCACCTCCTGGTGCAACTTGGCCACCAGCTGCTGAGGTACCCTGTAAGGTCTCTGTCGGATTGGTTTAGAGTCTTTCAGCTGAATCACGCACTCCACCAGGGTGGTCTTTCCAGGTATGGGTGCGAACAGAGAGGGAACCTCCTGGAAAACTCGGAGAACACTTGCAACTTGCTCACGTGTCAGGTGATCCAGTGATGGTGGAGCAGCACGGTACATCACTACGCTGGATCTCTGCAAGGGATAATGGCAGGTCCCGCTGCAGGACACCGCCTTCCGGACCCCAGCAGGACTTTTCCAGTTCACTGTCGCAATGTGCTTTTCTGTTTTGAACATCCTGCTGTTCGACGCATTCTGTCTCTTTTCCACTTTTGGAGCTTTAAAGAGTCCACAGAGATGC